TGTGTGTGTGTGTGTGTGTGTGTGTATAACTCCTTTGTCTATAACTTGAGCTCTCTGCACCAGTTCTTAATGCTCTTCTTCAAAGCTTTACTGCTATTCCATATCTCTACCCTGCCCTATATGCAGGTAAAGGAAATAAAGGTCTGAAACTTTTAGAACATCATTACAGAATATTTACAATTTCTGGGCTTTCTGATGATAAAGTATTCTGCCCTAATTTTCTTTTTAACCCATGCCAACTTACGATATTGATATGGACAATAATGAGTTTGGTTTCACGTTAAAAACCATTTAAACTCTAGTTTTGATCGAAGCATGTAACTATACTGCAATTAGTGATTTTCTTTTTCATCCTAATATAGTTTACATGTACTCTTGCGTGCGTTGCAGGTTTGAAGCAGCAAGTTGGATTGTGAAGAAGAAGAAGAAGAAGATGGAATATTTCATAGAACCAATAAGTTTGATGAGTTACATTACAGTTAATTGATCAGTTGCATCCATGGTGGCAGCGAAGACATCATCAACATGGTCAAGCTCGTCAGCTATATGCTTCACGCTCTTCCTCTTCATCTTCTTCTTCCAGATTACTCTCCTCTATGGTAATTATTAATTCTATATAACGCCTGCATTATTTCATTCATTCTCCTCCATTCACTTTTATTCCGTCCAAAAGGGGTTTCGTGTTTATATGGTTTCTATTTACTTCTTTTTAATGATAACTTGCTTATGAGTAAATGATTTTTATGCTAAGATATGGCAGAATTCGGTGATAAATTTAAGAGACCAATTTATGATATAAAATTATTCAAACAAATTAGAGGATTATAAAATTTTAAAAGCCACCGAAAGGATCGTTTTTAATTTATATTATATATCTATCAACTTGAATCTTAAAAATTGAATTATATACAATTTGGTCTTTCAATAATAACACATGCTATTTATATTTGGATTAGTGGGGATTTGATGAATTTGGATGCGAACCAAATCTATATTTATTCAAGGTGGAGCTAGAGTAGTAAGGGAGGGGAGGCAAATTTTATAGTATATCTAGAATACATTATTTTAATTTTTTTTATTAATTAAAAATAATTTTATAATAGAATTGATAAAAATTTTAAGATAACAAATCATTTATAAAACTTAAAATATCAAAAGGAAAAATATCATTTTGATGATTATGAATATTGACTTTGAAAATTTTCAAAAATAAATATTGCTAAAAATACAGGGAAAAAAGTTTTGGAAAGAATTATAAAAAAGAAAAGCTTATATACTTTCTTTGTCTTCAATTAAATCAAGATATGCACATTTTTTTATAGATTATTTATTCCATAATAAACTCTTATTATTAATATTTTTAACATATTTAAATTTACTTGTTTTCAATTAATTAGATAAAAATATATTAAGTACATAATGCTAAGTATCTAAATCTTATCCTATAAAAAAATTTAGGCATCCATGATTTGGAAAAATGATTGATGATAAAAATTTAAAAAAATTTAATAACTTGTTCATATTTTAATCTACTATTACCTATAGAAGTAAAGAGAGTACTCTTCCGATCTTTTTTATAATTCACTTTCAATATTTTTTATTAGTATTAAAAAAATTTTAAAACTTATTAATTCTATCTTAAAATTTAATAAATTCTCAACTTTATCTTTATTAAATGTACTTATTTCAATAACATATTTTCTCTCTCTAAAATTTAATGAAAGATAAAAAAATTTGTGATAAAAATTTAATTATGTCACTTATAAATAGGACTAAAATTTTTTTTTCTCTATTTTATAAATAGGACTAGAGGGAGTAAAGAAGAACGATCGATGTTTAAGAAAAATTTTGTTTTATTAAGTGAGAAGGGAAACAAAAACAAGTGTAGGAAGTAAAGAATGCACAGTAAAGAAATTAAAAATAAAAGTTAAAATTGAAAAATGAAGAGTCAAAATAGTAATTTTCTCCTTTGAAAGAAATATCTCATTAATATAGTAAAATAATTTTAAAAAATCTGGGAAGCCTCGGTTCGCTCCTGCATTAATTTCAATGCATAAAATTTTATGGATTTGAGAATCCAAATCCAAGTAATTTTTTATTAATAATTTCATTGGAATTTAAATACTTAATTTACTCTAATTACTTTAAATCTTAGCCATCTTTCTATACAACCCAAACATATATACAAGTAATATAAGTAGGACAACTCATTCTTATTGATGTAGATTTTTGGAAAGTTATACTTTTTGGTTATTGAATTTTTTTAATTATCAATTTAATCCTTAAATTTTCTTAACTCAAAACAATTTAGTTTTTATAATTTTTTACAATATAGTCCTTATAATTTCTTAATTCAATTAATCACAAAAGTTAAGTTGTAATGAGTCAAAGTTTATGAATTAAATAGATAATTAAAATTTTTTTAGGAAATTAAATGATATATAATCGCTGGATTTTTTATACTAATCATACAAAGAATTTTAAATAGATAAGTTTTAAATGTGAAACTTAAAATTTATAAACTTAAAATCTAAACGTGTTTATCCAAATGCCACCTAAAAAATATTTCTTCGATTTTGAAATCTAGTATAAGAAAATAAATATAGACTAAAACTTTTATTGGTTTTACATCTGGATTCATTTTAAAATAATTTAATTTAAATGGCTATATAATGATGCGCCCCAAAAAAACTATATAAAGGCGAGAACACTTAACCATATAATTAGTTGGCCAGAAAAAAGAAAAAAACTTAACCATATAATTAGCTCTAACACGTCATTATATTATTATTATTATTAGATACATATTAGATAGGAAATCACAATTAATTAACAAGCAATTTTCACCTTATTATTGCGCAGACGTGAGCATATGGAAAGCGAAGCTGAGGCGCGTGCGTCGCTCTCGCAGTCGGATATTAGCAGTAGTTCAACTTCTATCACATGCGACCGATCTCACGACGACTTCTGCACCGTGAACGGCCCATCACTTTTGGACCCGACCCAATCAACCATCTTCACTTTGGGCCCCCATAACTGGGCCCAACCCATTTCCCAGTGAAAATCCATCCTTACCCTCCCAAGCACGACAAGTCAACTAGTCCCCGATCAAACCGGTCATGCTCATCTCCGCTCCACCAAAATCCACATGCACCGTTACACACAAAAGCCCAGTCCTCGTATTCAGTGCGGGTGGCTACACCGGAAATTTCTTCCATGAATTCAACGTGAACTTCATCCCCCTCTTCATCACAGTCCATTCCTCTTCCCTAATCATGACGTGGTCCTTGTCATCATAGATGGCGCCACGTGGTAGTTTCGCAAGTACGCCGAGTTAGTCTCCAGTTTTACCACACACCCGATCATCAACACAAATTCGACCACCACACACTGCTTTCCATCGGCAGTAGTCGGTTTACTGAAGCATGGGCCCATCATGGTCTACCCGACCCAACTATCCGACCCGAAAAACCTAGTCGACTTCCGTGCCTCTCTGAAGAATACATACGTCCGAGTCCGACCCGGCTCCGTAGAGAATAGTCCTCTTCCTGCACAGATCGTAGACGATTCTACGCCGATCCTAACGTTGGTGTGTAGGAGATCGAGGGAATGTGAGCCGTGTGATATTGAACCAGGAAGAGATCGTCAAGGCGAGCGAAAAAGTGGGGTTTAACGTGAGAGTGTTGGAAGCATCAAGGGACAAATATATGGCGGGTGATTACAAGCTGGTTCATGCGAGCCATGTACTGTTAGGGGTTCACGGTGCTGGGTTGACTCATTTGTTGTTTCCAAGACGAGGGTCAGTTCTGATGCAGGTGGTTCCTATAGGAACAGAGTGGGCTTCTAGAACCTACTACGAGAAACCAAATAGGGTTTTAGGGTTGGAGTACGTGGAGTACAAGGTAGAGGCAAGTGAAAGCAGCTTATCAGAGAAGTATGGGAGTGAGAGCTTGGTGGTGAAGAAACCAGAGGATTATCACGAGGGACAATGGAGCAAGAAAAGGATATATTTGAAAGAACAGAATGTGAAGCTGAATGCGACCAGATTCAGGAAGTACTTGACGGAGGCATATGATAAGGCCAGAGCTTTCATGGACACGCATGGGTAGCTCCATCATCAGCTGGAATAATTTTGCATTATATTAATAACTAATTATTCAAGAACGTGTTATTGTTTTGGCCAGTTTCAATGAGTTCTCAAGTGAAAAAAATAGTGGTTATGCAAACTTGTAACAAACCCGGACCGTTGAGTTAATCTAATTATAGTTACGAGCATAACCGAAAGTTGTTTTAACTAAAAATGTTTTTGCAAATTATCGTTATCTTTACCCATCATTTTTTGGTTTCCAAACAGGTCACGTGTTGCATGTGATTGTAACCATGACCAAAGTAGTTTACCCATTAGTGTGCTTTTATAATTAAAGTATGAATAATAATTTTAATAATTTAAAAATGTTATTTTAATTTTTTTAAATACTATAATGGTTTTGTTTTTATGTAAATATGCAAGTGTCACTTCTCTAAAAAAAAAAAATACCAATATTTTATTTTATATTAAAATGCTGCGAAGTCACTTCTCACATTGTTTGCTTTATTAGTAATATTTGAAGACTGACTATTTAGTTATTTTAGTAAGAAGCATCTATGTTTATACCAAAATTTTGTCTTCGGCCAAGATAACAACTTTTCGTAAAAAATAATTTCTTTTTATCTATTGAGCACATTTTTGGCTGAGAAATAAAATAATTTTTATTTTACAAATGATGAAAACACATCCGAATCTTCGGGATTCATGTAATGGAATGTAAATAATTAGTTAAGCGCATGCAAAAAATCAAGAACGGTGTGTTGGCAAAAAACAAAAAAAGAAAGAAGAAAAGAAAAGGAAAGAAAAGGAAAAAAAGAAGAAGAATGGCGTGGTTCTGGGGGCTATCAATTATGAGGCTATCTCTATAAATACAGGATCAAATTTGGAGCCGTGACAGTCACATCCATTTTGAATCGACTTTTCCCTCGCTTCTGAAACTGAAAGCAATATGCAGACACTTCAATTTCTCACAGTTCTTCCTGCGCCTAACTCCTCAGCTCACAGGAGTCACAGCGATGGCTGCAAATTCTTCACAACCTTCTTGCAGCCTACCGTTCTTTTCCAGAGACACAAGTTTACGGAATCAAATATGGCAGGAAAGGCTTGTCGCCCTCTTCAGGCTACTGCTCATCCCCCAGACGTCATGTACTTCATTACTTGCCTGTCTTTGTTCATTGTCGATCCGCGCGTTCTTGTGCGTTAGGATGGATTCTAGAAATTTACGGTGATACGGCCGAATTCTAATACGAATTTCATGGAACTCTGAAATCTTGAAAGAAATTCAAACGTTACGTGTGACTTAGTTATATATATATATATATATATTGAACTTATTCTTTCACCATGTCAAAGAGTTTCTGGAGATCAAGAATCTCATAGGCTCTTTTAAAGTTGGTCAAGGAGAAATACGATCGACATCAGTATTGTTTGCAGGTGAAGAGCCATTAAAAGGAACTTCATAGATTCCGGTGGGGTGAAATATACTGGTTCTTTTGAATCACCCTATCGAGTTCTGCTTAGAAGTAGGCAGTACCTAATTTTTATGTTTGCATGACAATGAAGCCTATATTACAATAGTTTTCACAAATTTAATTTCACATTCTATTTTGGATCGGTTAAAAAATAAAATATACCTGGATCCACTTCAAAATATATGAAGGTGGGTGATTGGTTGGCTTATTTATCATCTATGTTGTCATGTACTGATATAAGACAATGATTTCTTAAAATCACAATTATATTCCTTTGTAAATAAAGGCAATGATGCACAGGAGTTGCTTCAGAATGACGCAATTATATAGTTGATCCATTGGTGGATCTTTTATTGTTTATTTTTTGGCTTTCAGTTGTATCAAAAAAAAAAAAAAGATTAAGAAAAATATTTTTCACTGACATTGCCTCTGAGATCTAGAAAATTATCTACTCTCTTTCTAGCTAGGCTGTAAGGAGTATATACTAGCAGCTACATCAAGAATTGTATGTGTGTCTGCATGCGTGTGTGACTATTTTTATTATTATCTTCTATTCGATTGATGTATAACACATAAATTAATAATTTGTGTTATGCTCTTTTCTGTCGACCTGAAAGCATGCTTGCCTAGATATCAAGAGTATTTGCTGTCATCCTGATGTCTATATATAGAATTAAACTTAAAGCATAAGGGAGGAAAATTTATAGATGGTTAAGCTAACAAATTCTCACCAAAAGTAAACTTTTATAAATAGATCGCAATTGATTGCCAACTTGTGAACCAATTTTATATGGTCTTCATTCTCTACAGGTACAGGAGAGATGAGAGGAAAAACTTCACCTTAGATGACATAAGACAGGTTCTGATTAGGCTGGAGGATAGCATAATATTCAACCTTTTGGAGAGAGCTCAGTATTCTTACAATGGAGGTGCTTACGACAATGGAGCATTCTTCCAGGATGGCTTTCAAGGCTCTTTGGTTACATACATGGTCCAAGAAACTGAAAAGCTACATGCCAAGGTTACTATATTTCTTAATCAGTTGAAATATTACCAAAAAAAAAAAATCTTATTGTCTTCCCTCGGGTTTCAGGTTGGACGATATAAGAGCCCGGATGAGAATCCTTTCTTTCCTGGTTACTTGCCAGTGCCAAAGCTTCCGCCCATGCGGTACCCCGAGGTTTGGCTTTCAACTATTTTTTTATTTGATGATGAGATATAAGTTCTTTTACTAACTAAAGTAGAATAAGATTTTGTATGAAATAATTTTTTTTATTTTGAACCTGACATCTGGTGTATGAAATAAGATTTTGCATGAAATAATTTGGGCATTACTACAGGTTTTAAAAATATTGTATATATATATATATACTATCAGTGCTTTCACTCGAAGGTCATATGTATTAATTAAGATGGATAGAGGAACATTTTGATACCTTTACCATGTGAGTGAATTATAGTGCTGATTGATGATGTCTTAGAATCATACGTTCTCGCCAATTTAATGTATTTTATTTGATTAATTACCCGTTATTTGTATTTTAGCTTTTCGTTGACAATTGTGCTTTCATATATCTTCTTAATTTACTTCTGAAAGCGTATTGCTTTGTGAAGTTTGACTAATCTAGCTTCCATCTTCCTCTTGCTTTATAACTAGGTTCTGCATCACAGTGCTGCTTCAATCAATATAAACGATAAGATCTGGAACGTGTATTTTATAGACCTCCTCCCAAGATTGGCAAAAGAAGGAGGTGATGGTAACTGGGGATCATCAACTGTTTGTGATACTCTTTGTCTGCAGGTAGCTGATTGAGCTTCAGTTGTATGATGAATTTTTCTTGAGAGTGAATAGTTTTTCGATGTAGGAAGTTTCCTGAATATCCTGTTTTCGAAGAGTCTGCTAATAAAATTTATTTATCCTATGCAAAACAAATTAATGACCCGCTGCTCTAAAGAGTATGTGATCCTGTCTTACGCACCGGCAATGATAATTATGATATCAAGTAGTTAGTTTGAACTTTCCCCCTTTCTCGTGATGCTCAGGCTCTCTCGAAGAGAATCCATTATGGGAAATTTGTTGCTGAGGCAAAATTCCAAGAATCTCCAAGGGAATATGCGGCTGCCATTGAAGCGAAAGTAATCTTGTGCATGATTTTAGCCTTATGTTTCCACATGTAGACGTGTTGCTTGATTTTTCTAACTTCTCATTGCTGGTTAATATTGGTGTTGCAGGACAGGAAACGACTGATGGAGATGTTGACTTTTGAAAAAGTGGAAGCACAAGTGAAGGAGAGGGTAGAATGGAAGGCAAGAAGGTATGGGGAGACAATAAGAGTCACTGAAAATAGTGAAGGATCAGATCCTGTGTATAAAATGAAGCCCAGTCTGGTTGCCAATCTTTATGGAGATTGGATAATGCCTCTGACAAAGGAAGTAGAGGTGGAATACTTGTTAAGGCGACTTGATGACTAAACACACTAGGCATGCAGATTAATTGTTGCTTGGATGAATACAGCTTTACTTTTTAAATCTGTGGAGTACCTCAGTCATAGATAATAATACTTGATTTTCGTGTGTTTGTAAAATTTGCAACAAGTTGTATCATCAAATATAACAGTGAATAAATTTTCTTGGGGAGTATTCAAAAAACTTTGCCCCAAGTTGACATACCATTCATATATAAGCTGTAGAATGAATGAACTTGGCACTCAAACACATGCAACCTATATCAATTCCTGTCTCGTCTGATGAATAGTTGCTATGATTGAGGCAATGAGATAGAATGCCAGATCAAGCAAGCACACCAAACAATACAATACAGGAAGTGTAGATGAACGTGCAAAATAGTTGCAGAGAACCTTGCAATGCATATTACAGCACGCAATTATATTTCTGTTGAATAAAGATGCTATCCTTATCATTCTTTTGAGCTGGAAAATACTTAGAATACAGCTTTTCCTGGCCCTACCATGTGCAGTAGCATCTTTTTAAGTTTGACATCTTAAACTAGCTTCATTATCAAGCTTTCTTTTGAGATCGCATCATATGTAAGTATGTATGTGTGGGTGAGTGTATTTCCTTTGTCTTCACTCTTGTTAAAGTTTTCCTTCTTTAATAAACATTTACACAAGCACGATACAAGACATGATCAAGGCAAACATTACTCAAAGTCCATTACCTAAAATAAAAAGGCAAACATCATAAAATAAAATTTAAGTCCTCTGGGGTTTCGTACTTTCACTTTCATTTCCTCGCCTCACTCATTCTCTATAGGATCCCCTCATTCTGAATTAATTTTTTCAATAAATTTTAACGGCAATTAGATCCCTGTTGACAATTAGGATATTGCAAATGATAATGGTTAAATATTATTGCCACAGGAAATATTTCAACTCTAAGTTTAATCATAGTCATAGTAAATATTTGAACTCTAAGAATTGCAACAATTTGATTTTTTTGTTGTTGAAAAATCCACTATAAAATCGAATGAAGAATATACTTAAAAGAAATCCAAGAAAAAAAAATTGAAAATTAATGTTCTTCTTGATTGGATCAATTACTCCCGTGCTTTTTTTTTTTTGGGGCCAAAACTCACAGACTGTCATTAATACTCAAGTTTTCGAATTTGGATCGCTTAATTGAGGCTCTTTCAATCCAACCTTAGTTAAAAAAATATATTAATCATTAGATTATGATCTAATTGTGGTGAAAGGAAGTTGCAATATTTTTTTAAAATAATAAACATATTTCTTCACTTCAACACTATTAAATCATAATTTAATAAATATTCCTTAATTTTTCATAAAAAACTAAATATTCCATAATCAAGGCTTAATTGAGGAGGTCTAAATCCTTTTTCAATCAAAATTATTATGCCATTTTAGGGCCAATAAATTAAAATTGATGATTCAATAATTTTTAAAAATGGTAAAAGACTAAGAGGTGTCTGGATTTTAAACTTTTTTGGTATAATATTTTTTTAACTTTTAAAAATGATGCAGTATAGTCCTTGTCATTAATAAAAATTATCTTTGATTGTTAATTAATAAGAAAATAATAGAAAAAATTTCAAAAATTACAACAAAGAACTAACTAATAAAATTTTCTTTTCTATATATTTTTAATTAGTTTCTATTATTTTCTAACTAACTAATGATTATAATACTCTTATATCAAAATATATATGTTTAATGTAATTATATGTATAAAAATATATTGAAAGTAAACATTATATAAAAATGAACGTTATCAAAATAATTTAAAATTAAATTAGTTGGTAGAAATTACTTTCATGGTATTATATTTTAAAACCAAATAATTCCAAAAAATGTGTTATTTTTTATTTACAAAATTAGAAAATGGATATTTTTAAAATTAAATATAATAAAAAATAAATAAATTTCAATTTGGCTGTTGGTTTGTTGGTGAGAGTATTTTGCTTTTACATATAGTTGTGAGTTTCACAGCAAGCTTATAGAGCCAGAACATAAAAAATAACTTACATATACATAATGTCATAAAAATATGAAAGGCACACATTTATAAAAATAACAGTTTGTAGAGAAGATGGAGACATGTATGGCACTGAAATAGAACAATGCGAGGTCATTAATTTTTAAGCTAAAGATTTTTATAATTATAAAAATTATGTGAATCAGTGTTAAACTATTTTTATGATAATTATTGTCACTTATTATAGTATAGCAAATAAATTATTGTAGCAATTATAATGTGAATTAGAATGCTGAGGTCCTAAGGAAAAATATGAAGGGTGGAAGATGATGAAGCAAATGCTATGTGCAAAGGAATAGAAGGGTGAATGGAGAATAAATATTTTTTTTTCAAAGTCTTTCCATTTGTGGAGAAAGAATAAGGTGGGTTTCATGTTTTATTTTTTATTTTTTCACTTTTTCTTCTTTTCACTTATTCTTTCTTATTCAAACAGTAAAAAAATTAGTTTTTTTCCTACTTTTTTCTCATGTTCCCCCCATCGCCAATTTTCTCCCCATCCCAAGAACCAATAGGGATGGATATATTTTTTAACCCTTTTAAAAATCAGTTTTTGGGCCAAAGATTAACAAGACATGGATCGTAAACACAAAAGTACAAAAACATTTGCATTTTATGGAGAAACGTGAAACGCAGGTTTCTACGGTCCGCATCAGCGTGTTTGTCCCTTTTTCCATTGCCAGCTTTAACTTGGATGCCAAAGGTGCAGCTTTAGGAGGAGAACCACCATTAACGCTCCCTTCTGTCTGTGGCCTAAGAAAGGTAAGGAAACAAGGGAGAAGAAAATGGAGAAAGCTCTGACAAGAGTCAGTAGCTTGAAGGTGGGTCTGGGAAACTCATGGATTACCAAGAAAGCCAAGGAGGAGTTCTCTAACATTACTGACGACATCAATGTGAGTGACATCTTTTCTGGGTTTCGCTTGCTTCTTTTGATTTTCTGCTTTTTAAGCTTCATAGCTTCTTGTCCCTTTTTAATGTCTGCATTTTCTAATGGAATGATCCCGAGCGAGCCACGCAATTGAGGGTTATCTGGCTCCTGTCAGTCTTATGTGGTTATTATAAGTCGGTACTGGCTTCAGAGATCTGAACGACTTATCTGAACTAAGAATGAAATGGATTACTTTTTCTTATCATTTTTTTGATTAAACGCTATCGGATTGATAGTAGCGATTTATGGGAACTTATTTGAGTGATGTGGTGTTTGGAAGTTTTGGGGTGTAGATATATGGTGAGGTAATTGAAGTGAAATTGAATTTATTGCATATTATTATTGCTTCGTATGGTACTAAATTTTTCCATGAATGACATTGCAACAATGGTATATTTCTTTCTTGTTTCTGAAAAATCATTTCTTGGGTTATGCGGGAATAGGATTATTTTTAAAACTTCAGATTTTTCTGGGCCTTAGAGTGTTAAGCTTTCTAGAACATGTAATTTCCTTTGAGCCCACTTCTATACTCGTTGGCTGAATTGGTGGAAGGGGAAATATATGAGCGTAGACATCAAAGCTATGGAAGAGGAAGGAAAACAGTAATGTGTTATTGGAGAGATCTTTATATGGTCTCTCTCAACGTAAAAATATACGCTTGGCATTGATACTCAAAACTTTAGGTGTCAGATTCTTTCCACTGATACAATATTTTATTCACTGTGTGACTTCCTTCTGTCTACTTAACCCCGACCATCTGTTACTCAAGTATGGGTCCAATCAAATGCTTACTTGAATATGCTATCCTATTCTCTCTCACTTCCCACAGCAACCCAATCATGGAAACTCATCTCTTTACATGATTGCATACTTCCATCTGTTTGGACCATTGTCTTCACACTTGTTCCTCTTGAATTATTGGGTTTTGATGCTAATCTTAGGGTTCGAAGGAGATTCAGATTTCAACGATAGTCTTCATGGGGGTTTTTTTTTTTCGTTAGATTGAGGAAATATATAGGTGGGTTAGATCTTAGTTTTTGATAAAAAAATATTAAGGCATCAGGTTTACGGTTTTCCCCCGACTTACATATCTATTCTCCAGTCTTATTTTCTGGCAGAATCTGAACTTGGAAAAAGGAAAGAAGGGAAAGCCTACTCTTTACTAGATAATATGAGCAAGGACCTTAACCCATAAGACTAACAAAGCGAGGAATATTACTAGAGCAGTAAATGCAATAATCTTGAACGCATAATACTCCTATAATCCGAAATGGAGAATCTCCAATACAACTATAATTCAACCACAATTATTCTTCTGCTTAAACCCTTCAACCCTATTTTCAATAAGATAACATAAATATACAAATAAATGGATAAAAATAAATGAATTAACTCCCCACTGCCATAATCAACCCCTCTCCTAATGTGCCAGTGCTCTAGCTATTCAACATGTCATTAACACCGCTTCCCTCTTCATGTTGAATCACTATCCCATGATACCCTGTCACCACTGTGGCACTCTATGATTTTTGTTGTTACTAACAATTGACCAACAATATGGGGATTTTTTCTTACATCTAAAGTATTCCTTTTTTCTTCTAGAAAATGGTGTTAAGGCTTGGTGAGTCAAAAATAATTGACCTTGTATGACTTGCTCAGTCCAGGATAGTGCCTTCCTTCATTTTGTATAACTATTTAAACTGATACTTATTGGATACAGACAGCTGACGCGTGCCATTTGTAGACTGGGTGCTTGGTCATTAGTTGCATGCTTCTTTGGATGATTTTAAGGCCTGTTCTCATATTTTTATGTATCAAGCGGATGCCATGTTCAAAAAAAAGAGCTTGGACTATGCTATAATCATTTACAGAATTAGGCAGGCATCGGCTTCACAGAATTCATATAGGCAACCTATATTTATTTCTTTCTGTTGATTAGCTATAACTTTTACAAACTTCTTGTGTCTTCTTAGCATAGAAGCAGATTAAGTTTCTGTATGCATATGCTAGCATATTGGAATATAAAGCATTTAATTTAGTCAAAAATGCTGTTAGTGGTTAGTGTTTGAGCTATTGCAGAATTTGGTCCTACATTCCTACTGCCTCAATCCTTAATTTTGCTAAAACGGTGATCTTTTTGCAGGCTTTCTCAAATACTGTTGAAGAGAAAGCAAAATGGATTTTCAACAAGCTAAAAGGTATGCAAATGTGCTTAGACATTGTGTTTTCATGTGAGATCATGCATATAAAAATTTGCGTTTACAAGCAGATGTGGTACTTTAGATGTATACCAGGAACATGACTGCAGCGTCCATTTTGTGTGCCCTGAAAATGGAATCCTTACATCTTATTTATCGTATTCATCACATTATGACTAACTGATCAAGTCGGATTTTCTATATTCCCCAAAAATTTATACCTGGCATTCAAATAGACATGATGCATGCATGGAATGTTGGCCATACTCATCATTATTCTGTATCATACACACGTGTGAATACATGAATGTAGACGATTCAATTTGGTAGACCATCACACTATGTGGGAATAGTATGCCAGTGAAGGGGCAAACTTTGAGAAATATTCTGCAAGGAAAATGTTCCATGGTTCGTTAACAATTTTGATCCTCTATATTTATGTATTCATACATTTAGGCGCCTAACTGTTTGTATGATTAATCTCAATCTAGTCTATTTTAGTTAATTTGACCAATTTACAAACTACTTTACCAGCTATTGATCATATCACCTATTCTTCTGCCTTTCTCTTTCAATATCTATGCCCTCAGGCAAGCCACTTAAAAGCTTGCCAGATCTCCTCCGGGACTACAGCTTGCCGGCGGGGCTTTTCCCCCAGAACATAATCTGCTACGAGTTTGACGAAACCAAGGGTAAGCTGGTTGTGTACTTGCCATCTGCATGTGAGGTCACCTTCAAGGACTCCTCTGTGGTAAGATACGCGACTCGAGTCAAAGGGATCATCACGAGGGGGAAGCTCACTGGAATAGAGGGAATGAAAACGAAGGTCGTCGTGTGGGTTAAGGTGACAACTGTGGCGGTTGAGGGCTACAAATCTGATAAGGTTTGGTTCACTGCTGGTGTTAAGAAGTCAAGGCCAAAGGATGTTTATGATGCGCCTCGTGATGCTCTCAGAGTATCAGAATTCTGAGCATATAGGTCTTTTGAGTATCCTTATCTCCATTGTTATGTAGGTCATTGCAAAATGCTATATTATATACAGTAGGATTTAGTCTCGTGTTTTTTTAAGAAAATCTTTTGCCAGAAATGTTGATACTGGATATTTTGAATTGCTGTTCTGATGATTCATTGAATGTGAGCTGAGAAGCTCACATGAGGCAAGTCAAATTTGAAGACTTTGAATAGTACAACTTTTTTCCCCGCCATGTTATTCAGTTGGTTTCTTCACTTTCTTGCCTTCTTATGAAGATGCTTCAGAAGAAACCCCTGCCTTGTGGCGCCCATGTTCTAGGAGAGTAGTTGTTTATTAATTTCTCTTTGAAAGATTTTTTTTTTTTGAGAAATTATGAAAAAATAAAACTACAAAACCTGCGCTCAGTCAAAGCAATTTATGAATAAGCAAACTCAAGTCTCATTAAAACAAGGGAGCTTCGGTCAAAAACCAAAAAAAAAAAAAAGTAAGAAAGGAATACTTAAAGCCATAAGTAATGTCAATAAAAAGCGGAGAGAAAATTTGCAGGTATTTTTTGAGGTGTGAATAGTGCAATTCTTTATAAACTTCCGGTTTTTTTACCTTCGAAATATTTGTCATGCATTTTATTGGGTTGTATGCAATATTTTATTAATTTTTTTTACATATTTTAAAAGGTTTTAGATATTTAAACATTGGTATGATCTTTCAAAACATCTAAGATGTAAGGAAAATTAGTAAAGTGCCCATACAGAGACTAAAGTTTTTATACACAAGTATTAATCTTATAGGAAGATTTTTTTTGAATTAATAACTTGTAGCATATCATTTTCAATATTCTGTATCATCCTATATGTAGTGAGGCTATGTAATTATTGTTTTTAATGTTAAATATGCATAATAAGGTTAAGTAAATGTAAAAACTAAATAAATATGATAAAAAGTTTATTAGTAAAAATTCATAAGCTGTTAGAAAAATTAAGAAGAGAAGAATATTAATGAGAAAGACCATGATGAAAATCTTTCATTAATCAATTAACAAAAATGATAATGAAGATGATAAATCCTTCCTTACTGATTTACCAAAAAAAAAAAAACTACATACCCTTTTTTTGAGGGATTATAGACCAACCCTAGATATGGAGGTGAAACAATAAGATGGGGACTATGTTAACCTTCTTTTTGAGTCAGTATATAATCTTTTTAACTTCTAATGGAATATGATGCCTTTTATATAGATTTTAAGATCATCAATAACTAAGTAATTGACACTAATAACTCTAACTAATCCAACATAAACTATTAACTCCTTGTCTTTTTGGGAAGGGAAAAGGGATTTAATTGAAGTATGAAGAAATAAAATTTTCAAAAAATGGAGTGTGCAAACTGCAAACTCACAATTTTGTGAAAGCATCTTGCTAAAAAAGTTGGATAAGATTTCTTAGGTCAAGGCAGGGGGACAATGTTCTCCTGGAAATGCCTTATCAATGTAAAATTTACTTCATTGAAAATTAAAATTTTACTTTTAACTATGCAAACATAATAAAACCTTTTAATAGTAAACTTGTAAAACATTGTGTGATTTTTCAATTTTACCTTTCACTAAAATTAATAATTAATTATTAATATTAATAATCATAATAAAATGTTGTATTGAAATTAAAAATTCTAATAAATCATTGTAATTAAGGGTATAAAATTTAAAAAATTAATTACCATATCTTTACTCAAGTTATGGGAGAGATAGTTTCAATTTTCATGACGATAAGTGAAATAAAGTTTTGAAAATATACGTTAAACGGTAAAATTCATTTTCTCTCTCGTCAGTGGTAGCAAAGGAAATTCTCTCGACTGTGGTACGTTGCATTGTTGTTCACTTGTTCGACAAACGAGCTGCAACAAGAACCAGACAAGATCGATAGAGTGAGAAGGCAGGACTGAGAACCGAGGGAATTCCCAGTAGAAGGAGAAATTTAGCAAACCTAACAATGGCGATTTCCGGCTATCTAAGAGTCTCTGCAACTCTTCATCTTCATCACTCTTACCCTCGTCGAAGTGCTTTGTCATCCCCGAAGGTATGAACATTTTCTCATTTATTCCTCCATTTCTGCTCGTCTCGGGCTCACGGGGGTGAAGAGTCGGTTGTTTTTGCGGTTTTAGCCATCTGATTTCTGATAATGTCTTGTAGGATTCAGTTAATGAAGAAATTTAATGAGAATGTGTTAGAGGTTTAAATGAGATGGTGAAACCCCAATTTCTTTTTTCTTCTACTACATTTCCCCGTCTCCAAATTTGGGAATTTGGGGATTTCGGACTTTGCAAAGAGTTATATTGGGTAATTGATTCTTCAAGGAAGTCTTATAGATATATATGGTTTTGAAATTTGGGGTCTTAGTCACAGATAATTGACTGCTTTCACTTGAAACATCTCTCTATTTTTAAGTGTATTTTGTTTTTTATGGGCTTTTCTTTTTTAATTATCTGCTGATGGTAGATGGCAGGCCTGGTTAAATCAAAGATATCGCTTGCAATTGAGGTGTTACTTGTCCAATAAGACTTGAGGGGAAAAAGAAAGCGAAGGATGAGAGATGCCATATTTAGGATGGCTTCTGACAAAATAATTGTATAAAGTTTTGCATTCTTGTACTTTTTTGTTCAAGTATCTTCGTGCAGGAATTCTAGCTGTTTACTTTGACGGGGATAAAATTTTGTTTTCTTGTATATTGGACAAGGATGAGATGAACTATAAGGTTGTTTGTTCACCAAGGTTGCATTAATAGTTGTCCTTTAGATGTTGTACACAGCTGGTGCTTGTTAATGTTGTAGGAAAATCTATGGCTGCATACACGAAAATCCTTGTTTTGCATATCTATCAATATTTTGAGGAAAAATGGAGGAGGTTTGTGAAAGATGTGCTAGGTGTTGAACAATGTCTCTGGGATGGGATCCTTGTGACATCTTGCGTTGCATGTATTGAGTGTATGTTTGTTTGTCTTCTTAAAGTTTGGGTTGAAAGTGATAAAGGAATCTGATAAGGCTAATTGACTTGCATGAGTTGTTAGCCTTTTCCCCAAATGGAAAGAGGTGGCCACCGTTGCTGAAGTGTTGCGTTGGTTATAAGATTGAAGGATATATAAGAAAACTATAACCTTCTCGTGTAATTGTCAAAACATAACAAGATTTACAGAGTGGAAATGTCTTCACCTGCCTTATTTCTTAGCTTTTCTGTCTTATAGGTAGACTTCTCTAGTTCCTTGAATGGGGCATCCAGCATCTCTGAATTTACACCAAAATATCCCAGCATGGCAGTTAGACATCATGGTACCCGCGGTCAATGGAAGCCAGTTTCTGCAGTCAGTGGAGATCGTAATCTGTCACCAAAATTTGCTACCCAAGAAGCAGAGAATTTCCTCCTTGATGCTGTTAATATGAGCTTCTTTGAACGACTGAGCTTGGCTTGGAAGATAGTTTTCCCATCAGCAGTGTCTAGAAAAAGTTCAAATGCTAGGATTGCCAAGCAGCGTCTAAAGATGATTTTGTTTTCTGATCGATGTGAAGTAAGCGATGAGGCAAAGCGCAAAATTGTTGACAACATTGTGCGGGTTTTGTCTGACTTTGTGGAAATAGAATCACAGGACAAAGTGCAGTTGAGTGTCTCTGCTGATACTGATATTGGAACTATTTACTCTGTGACAGTGCCTGTTCGGCGTGTAAAGCCGGAATATCAGGATCTGGACGAATATGGGACAATAACTAACATCGAGTACAAGGATATCGGAGATAGTTCAGGTTCGGTTGATGTTAGATTTGACTTTTATGTTCCGGATGAGAGGTCATGATTTCTGAACTGAAAGTTTGGACAAGACTATTGAAAAATTTGTGTTAGGAATTTTTACTAGTTTAACCATGTTATGACTGTGTATATAATTGAGACTTGAGTAAGGGAAGACTAGGAGCTTTTCCGTTTGACTATACTACCTTCATTTTGTTTGTTTTGATGTTTAGCTGAGCTAAATATGCCTTGTTATTTTCATTTGAGATCTATGATAAGCTCTTCTTTGAAGCCATTGTTATGGATTTTGGGTGGCTCTGCATGTGTTCCTTGAGCTAAATACATCCAAATCCCAAGGAAATTTCCTTGGTAGCTGTTCTATTTCTATAGAGTCAATTAATTATAAAGAAATAGATATATATGCTTTTTAGATTGGGAGAATTATATTAAAATTTCACATAAAAAAATTAATTATTTCAAAATCCATTAACAACTGAATTAAGATTTGTGTTGCCAATGATCTTAATTTAGTTGTTAATAGACTTTATAGTAATTAATTTTTTTGTATGAAATTTGTGTGTAATTCTCTCTTTTATATTTTCCATTAATAGTCACACTGGAGGTACTCTATGTTGTCAATAATGAATTTATTTCTTGTATACAGATTTTTCTCATCATTGCTAGTAACTTTTTTTTTTTTTTTTGGGTCTCGTCTATAATTATGAAGCATTTAGCTTGGAATTGGAGGAGAATAAGAAAGGGGAAAAAAAACTGAGAGAGAAAAGGAGAAAAAGGAAACATTCTCCTTCCCTAACAAAATTTTTCATTTAGTTTTTCCTCTCTCTGGAGAAATTAGGAGAAAATAAGGCGCAAAAAAAAAAAAAGAAGTCTTTCTGTTATTTTATTTCCTTCCTATTTTTCTCTTTCCAAACAAAATCTCAGACTTCTCATTAACAGAACATAATATTTGTTGTTAATTTCTTCGAAATTCGAAGGGGAGAATATTAATTTTCCCCCTAAACGCCCCTTATTATTCTTCATAATCAAAGAAAATTATTATATATATTCTTGTTGAATTATGTATCTTCATTGCGATTTACCTAGTTAATAGGAATATGACCAAAAATGGACATTGATGGAAGTTCAATAATTTGCATTAGTCATGTTGGCTTCGTATCAAGATGTTGTCGGCCAAATATATATGTATATACACTGTAGTATGTTTTTTATTTAGAAAGTTAAAAAAAATTCAAAAAGGGGATTTGAACCCGACGTGAATCGAACACGCAACCTTCTGATCTGGAGTCAGACGCGCTACCATTGCGCCACGGATCCACTTGTTCAGGACTTCCGGCCTAAATAATATATAAATAATAAGGGCATTGGGCATCACGTCTATTCCCTTCTTTCTCAGCCGCCTCCTTGGCGCCAATCACATTTCGAACTTCAATTCTCGGTCGGTGCACTGAATAGTGAATAGTGAATCCATATCCTCTGGGGCGAAACATGAACAGAGACTGCCTGGAGTTGCAGTTCCAGAACCCGATTAGGGACGCTATTTCCAGGATCCAATTCGCCCCCAACTGTAACAATCTCCTCATATCTTCTTGGGACTCTGTAAGTTTGAGTATTTTTACTTTCATTCCCGATTTCTCTTGAAGTGTTCTGTTTTTCTTTGCTAAGCTCTGGGTTTCTGACTCTGCTGGAAGTTACTGGTCTCTGATTGGTGGATTTCTAACAGAGCCTTCGCTTATACGACGCTGACAATTCTGCGCTTAGACTAGAAGCCCCGTCAGAAGCGGCGCTTCTGGATTGTTGTTTCCAGGACGACTTGGTTGCTTTTACCGCTGGTTCCGATGGATTAATCCGAAGGTTTCATTTTATTTTAGTTTTTAATTTTTTTTATCCTTGATATAGCTGTTTATTTATTGTTAATGTTAATACTTACCTTTAACGATGTTTGTGGGCATTCCGTTTGCATTAATAATTAGACGTTAATAACTTCTTAAAGCTTTTGACGTCATTATTCTTTTTTTTTTTTTGTTCAACCTGAAAATGCTTCATATTTTAAATACTCAATGCAAATCAAAATAATACATCAGCACCGAAACATAGCACTAGCAACCGGACTAATATACGATGTATATCCATAAGAGCAGGCGATGGTGAATGCGGCCATTTAATATGATAAACCTTCTTACCAATGTCTACAGCAATGTGGTCTGCTGCATAGTTTTCCTCTTGAGGAGTCGGAGAAAACGAGAATCTTGCCATCAAACGAATGCTATCCAAACTTTCTTTCATCTAACTTCTACACTGCCATTCACAATCATCAGTTACTCCTTTATCCAAGCAGCGAAAGATGTCAGCATTATCACCTTAAAAAATGATACCCTGGTAATCAAATTCATTTGCCAAGGAAACAGCCTTCTTTCTTAAGTGCCGGACATTCCACCATAAAAGCAGAATAAGCAGCAACTTTGTTACCAAAGCCCCATAAGAACTCATCCTCACTATTTCCGCAGATAATACCAATAGCCGCCCCCTTTGTTTTTGCATTAAAGGAACATTCAAAATTTGCTTCAAGTCTTCAACACAATTACAGTAGGCATCCTAAAATTCTTGGATATTCTTAGAAGTAGCTTAAATGGTTTTGCATGGATCAGCCTTAGAGTTAAACAATGCGTCATTCCTTTCTTTCCACATAGACCAACATAGCCACATTACAAATGCTTTCCCATGATGCAAAAAGCGGAAATGTTGTTGTGATCAAATCTCAAAGCTAAAGGACTCGCAAGCCAACACGTCTAACCCATGGACACAAGAATAATAGATGTTGTCTTTGGTTCACTGCTAGAAATCGGACAAAGAGAGGTTTCACTGCATCTCCTTTTTAAAAAGAGCTTTTTTGGTTGCCACAGGATTGTTTAAACATCACACAAACTGAATTCTCTGTTTTTTTTTTTTTTGGGGGGGGGGGGGAAGATCATGGAGGAATGCCTTGCTCTCTGACTTTGTTGTTTGCAGGGATTTTTTGTACAATGATAACCTGATTTTACAGAATAATTACTATCTTTTGAAGTTCTCAAACAAGTCGATCTTCACGGTTTGCCACAGAAATGGAAATTTTACAGATCTGACTCATCTCTTGATCAGAAATTATCCCTTGCGAGCACTTCAGTTCCCACCATCCATTACATATTAACTTGTCAAGTCTCCAATTTTCTTCAATCCGATCAACATAGGTTTTATGAATTCTATAATGAAATTGCCCCAGAATCTGTTTGTCGTTCCATACTCTAACGAATCTACCATTTTCTATTTTCCAGCATAATTTTTTTTCCAATAGTCTTCTTCTTTCCAAGGATGCTTGACCATGCCCAAGAGGCTGTGTCCCTTGGTTGCTGTTTATTGTATGCCTTTACAATGCTCCAAACAAAATCCTCCTTTTCTGTTTGCAGCATAGTCATGTATCATTTTATAATTTCATCAACGTGCTTTGACTCCTCTTGAGCTTAACCTTGTCAGGTATTACTTGGATTTGGGCATTATTGATACATTGGGCAATCATGACGATATAGTGACATGCATTGGATATTCCAATGAAATATGTAAGCTATCGCAGCCAACCTTCTACCTTAGTTCTTCGTCTCTATTGGTTTCTGTTATAATTGCTGATATGATATTGAGAGGTCAAATGCAGCAACTAAATAATTGGACCAAAACTAAATAATAAATACTTCATTCTGCTTTTATTCTGCATGCATTTTGTTGTTTAGAAAACTGTATGGCAGAAGTAGAAGATATTAAAGGTATTGTTGCCTCATTTATTGTTGCAGAAAGATAATAAATGTTGGCTCAGGTCATGAATAGAATACATACTTAGATGATGGTTCATTATAGGTTTTATTGAGTTCTTACAAGTTCATAAGGAATATATTGACGAAAGAATGATTTGGGGCAGAGTAGAAGGTCTAAAATTGAATGTAATAATTTTCTTGATTTTGTACAGAACATTGGCTTGCTGTTGTCTCTAATAGTTAGAAAAGATACATAATCATTCCTGTTCCTGGTAATTGTAGGTCAGTTGATCACAGCTGGATTTGACAAGTTATTGTTGTGGGACATTCGTATGGAGAATGCTCCTTCATGCTCAAAAATTCTAGGTGCAGAGGTGAACTCCATGTCTGTCTCTAGGTTGAATCTAACAGTTGGAATTGGAACATCAGTGCATACCTATGATCTTCGTTATTTTGACAAACCAGTTGCATCAAGTGAACCACACAAAGGCACACAGATTAGATGCGTCAGTTCAATTCCTTACACGAGAGGTATGATGACTTTGTTAGTTTAATTTGTCTAATTTGAAACAGGTCACAACTTGTTAATGCTTCTATAAGAAGCTATACCAATGACTTTGCTTTTATTCTTTCAATTACAACTTTGCAGGATTTGCAGTTGGATCAGTAGATGGGAGGGTAGCATTGCAGATTTCTGATTCATCTAGTTCAAATGACATTAAGTAAGTTTTCTAATCCTATACATGGCTTCCTTCCCAATTTCATAATCCCACAGGCTGCTATCTAGCCAAAGCCAAATCAAGCTGCTGCCCATGCAGTTCCTTTCCTCCTTGGTTATTTTCCTCCTTTTGATAACGTGTATATGTCTTCCCAACCAGGGATCTATGCATTACCTTTACTTTTCCTATTTCTTTTCCTTACTGTCTTTTTAGCTAACAAAATTTTTTCTTCTCTCTAATTGACACTATTTAAGGACCTGGTTCATCCTAGGATAGGTGTTTCGACTTTTATAATCTTGCTTTGTTAAATGCTTCCCCCTCTTCATTTTTTATGGCCTTGTTGGTATTCTGTTCATATTCGTGATGACATGGATCTAATAAGATGTGAGAGAGATGGACTTAAGTTTCACGAGCATGACATATGGATTTATGTTGTTATTGAACGGAATCAGTACACAATTTTTAGTGCTTGTCTGCTTGGTCCCAGTATGAAGGGTAAAGAACTCTGGAAATCTTCAATCACTTTCTATCTGTCAGTTCAACATTATAAGCTCAACATGCAACTTCATTTTCTCTCTTCATTTTGGGCCTCCATAAGCCATACTTGTCTAATTGCCTTCAATGTGTCTTACAGATATTCTATTTTTCCCTTTTCTGGTGGAAATAGTTCAGCTTGTCAGCTGATTTTTGTTACGAAATTGAAAGGTGCTTAACAAATTGCCTTGTCGAACTCTTTTATAGATTTATATTCCGTTGTAATCCTAAAACGGTGGATGGAAGACATCATTTGGCATCAGTTAATGACATTATATTCAGTCCACTGTGAGTTCATCCTTTCCAATAAGTTACCATATAAATGTTTATACTTTATAACCATTGATACTTTATATTTATTTAATTTGTTGGTTAGTGTTCAAAGTGCTTTTGCTACTGGTGACAATGAAGGTTATGTGATTTTATGGGATGCTGGTTGTAGAAAGAGACTAATTGAGGTATTTGCCTAGAAATTTTCATGCTTAATCCTATCCTGTGTCTCGTGGCATTCATGTAGCTAATCGACTAATGTTGTCTGTACCCTGTACCAGTAGGTTGCTTCATTCATACACACGCACGTACGCTTGAGATTTCTTTTCAACTTTACTTCCGTCTTTTCTCATTTCAGTTACCTAGATACCCAAATAGTGTGGCATCCTTGTCATACAACCACGTGGGACAGCTTTTGGCTGTGGCTTCAAGTTACACATATCAAGAAGCAAACGAGATGTTAGTGATTATTCCCTTGTTTGTCCTCCACTCATTTCTTCTATATCACTTGTAGATTATGATACTGTTATCAATATTATCTTATCTTTGCTTTATCTTATTATTATTATTATTATTATTATTGTAAATGATATTTTCATATTATTCTGGAAATTCCGTATTTTAAGGTGTGTGTAGATACCCTTTGATCTTATCTATCCTCCTTAGTAATTCATTGAGAATCTCAATTACACACAGCAAGAAGCAAATGAAACGTTCGTAATTATTCCCTTATTTTTCCTCCACTCGTTTACTCACACTATCAAACGTGGAATACATCAAAAGATTCTTCACCTAATTTGACTACAGGCGAGGAAATTAATAAAGGAATACATTGCCATTGAGTTTTGACTGCAACCTTCGATCTATTAATTTGGTTGTCATTTATTGCCCCTTTCATCTTGACAGAGAAGAGCCTCCTCGTATCTTCATTCACAATATGGACAGCGTCAGTATTAAATCAGTTTCTGCCAGAAGCTCCGCTAGTAGAAGCTAAGCTTGTGTGCTTGTAGCTTAGCAACAAAGGCATTGACACAATTGGAGGCGGGAAAGAATTATCCACAATCCGTGCTGTATAATCATTTACAACAGAATGGTGATCTCGTGGGTTCTACCAGTCTCTCTCTAACTTCCATGATCCGGCTTGTATTTATTTCTCTTCCTAGGCGGTGTCTTGATGAATGATTTCAAGTTGATGGGTTTACTATGGAATTGATTCACTCACTAACTTCAGTTGAGTCACTCACAATTGTCTAGCTCAAGAAACCAGGCTGTAGTTGTTTTGAAGGAAATGGTGCTTCTAATATGGCATATTAAGCTTTCCTTTGGAATGCAAGTTGATTTTTGGTGAAGGGTGAGCGGCAAAGAACGGTCCTTATAAGTTGCTATTCTTTATTGAAGTGCCTGTTTGAAGTACCTTTCAGAGATTGAAATTGAGTGAGATTTTATATGTAGTGGATAAATTCCTGTGTTGAAAATTTGTATTCCTCTGTTGACAATTTCATTCATTCTGTTCTTTAGAAGTGCTCTCATTTGTCTACAATATTATGTAACTCACTTTTGACATTGGAATGAAGATTCCCTTCGAGCATTTTTCTTTTTTTTTTTTCTCTTTTTGAATTGAGGGGAAGACGTTAACCACTTTTTTTTTTTTTTGTCGAATACAAGGCCACATTAACCACTTCAAATTACAAGCCAAATTGAAAATGTCATGAAGTTATAAGGCTATTGGCTTTTTGAATATTTTTCGCATCACGTTTTGGTTCATCGATTATAAAAACTTCAGATTTTTTTTAACCCAAAACAAGAAGGTATCAAAAAATTAGCTGATTGTTTTTAAGGAAAAAATAATAAATTTATAATGTTTTATAATATTTTTACTCATAACCCCCTAAAATCCAACCTATCATGAAATAAAAACTAAAAAGGGTGTTCATATCTTTAGAATTAAAAGGTAATATATTTATTTAAAAAATAGTTTTAACTTCATGAGAAAAAAAGTTAAATAAGCAAATCTCATCTAAATTTTGTGAATATGGGACAAAGTTAAGCAAACAAATTATAATTAAGTGTTTAGGAAAATATGATTAATTGAAACAAGTGTCCTCTAATATAGTAGACTTTAAAAAAGTAAATGAATTTTACTAGTAATTAATTTTTTTCCCTTTTTTTGTAAAAGCTAGGATTAATTGAAAAAACAAACCCAGAAATGTAGGCTTGTAGTTGGGGTTTTCTTTTTGGAATTCTCACATGATCATATTATATAATATCCATGAATATGATATATGACTTAGGAGCCTCAAATCCAATTTAAAATGCAATAATGTGAGATTAATTAAGGGGGATCCCATCACCACGTGGGCGGGCCTCCTTCTTAGCGTTTTTATTAAGCAAGTTTTTTTTAATATATATTTTATAATTAACTGGTGACATTTTATTTAAAAATCGACATTTTATGATGTCCAAAAATTAATTAAGAAAAAAATCCAACCCTTTATAATGTCTAAAAGTTGGTCAAAAAAAGTGTAGACATTTAAAAAGTGAATTATTAAATATTATTATAGATTATATATATTTCAGCAAATACTAACAAAATTCCCTTACCAAGTAACCATCATCATCTTCCTCTTCTCCATTTATTCGTGATTATCCTGTTTCTCCAAGCTCTGCTTCCGTCTCTCTCTCTCTCTCTCTCTCTCACTCTTTTCCCTCTCTGGTTTGAGGCGGAGCCATGTCGGACGAGGAGCATCATTTCGAGTCCAAAGCCGATGCCGGAGCTTCAAAGACCTTTCCTCAGCAGGCCGGTACCATCCGCAAGAATGGTTACATTGTGATCAAAAACAGGCCCTGCAAGGTTCCTTTCATTACTTTTCTTCAATTTCCACTTACCCTTTTGTTTCTGCTTCATTGGATCTGTAGTATCTCTATTTCGTACGCTAGATCGTCACTTAGTTGTATTTGTATGTATTTTTTTGGGATTTTTTGGGATCTGGGACGAATGTTTTCAATTTGCTTATTAAGTTTATACGTGGCTGCAATTTTATTTATTGTAACTTTGCCTCTTAAATTGTTTGAAAATTCTTGTAACCGTTGGTGGTAATCGCTTTTGCCCCAAATCATATCTAGAATCTTATCCAGGCTTGTTTTGAAGTTTGCCGCTTGTCTTGTTCTGTTCGTTGTGGTCTTATCTTTATCTTGATGGCTTACTCTGTATGTGTCTTTTTATTTATTATTACTATGTGTTCACTCTGGCTGAAGGGAGATGGAGGGGAAGGTCAATCGAGTGTTGAATTTATGGTTTTGATGATTTCCCGTTAAAGTTTAGAACAAGATGAGTTTTATGGGCTTATATTGGGTCTGATTTATCTGATCTATTGTTAGCGTTTACCTTAGCATATTGTCTTCTATTATTGCGTGTGAAGCGCTGTTCACTGAGCAGGGAACAATTTAAAATACACTTTCAACCATTGAAGTGGACATCATTGAGGAATTATTGTTTCTAAGAAGCTTTTAATTAATGCCTTCTAGAGAGAGTTACTAATTATCGATGAGACCCATTCAGACTGCTATTAATTGAAAAGAACTGGTAAGTGGTAACCAATTTTAGATCTTGGTTAACAAGTCACTTCATTACATGTTAATTACATTAGGTCTCTTGTATGCATGTCTTGTGAAAATTGATTCCACTCCGTGGCTGTCCCACATTTTCCTTCAAAACATTTTATGCTTGAGATGTTGCATTTGTCTCTTTCTCTTTCTCCCTTTTTGTATGGGTATACAGTTCTGTCTTTCTTTCTAGCAGGTTGTGGAGGTTTCTACTTCCAAGACTGGCAAGCATGGACATGCTAAGTGTCACTTTGTTGGCATCGACATTTTTACTGGGAAAAAGCTCGAAGATATTGTTCCTTCCTCACACAACTGTGATGTATGAGATTCTTTTGTTTTAGATTTATATTAGGGAGAATTACAATTAGGTCTCACACATAGAAATTAATTACTGCAAGGTCCATTGACAACTAAATTAAACTATATTGACAATTGGTTGTATAGTCAATGCAGTTTAGTTTAATTGTCAATAATCCTTACAGTAGTAATTAATTTTTTTATGTGAGGCTCCAATGTAATTCTCCCTTTATATTAGCCTCTGAATTATACATGCTTTTAAGATCCTAAAGCTTGTGTCTGTGTGACAGGTCCCACATGTCAACCGCACTGATTACCAGCTGATTGATATATCAGAGGATGGATTTGTATGCATACTGTTTCATCTTTTTCTCCTCCTTTATTCACATTCCGGAACTGTAATCTGTTTATGAAGATATTTTGTTCTTTCGAAATACGTTAGGTGAGTCTGCTTACCGACTCTGGTGGTACCAAGGATGATCTGAGACTTCCAACTGACGAAAATCTGCTTACACAGGTTAGTTTGTTGATTCCCTCGTTATGATTTTTTTTTTTTTTTTTGGGTCCTTCACTCGTTTTGATAATTAAACCAGGTTTTGCCTAGTTTCAATTGTAAAATGGCTCTGATGCAGACGTTAAACATTTGCATTATATTTTTCTAAATTTTTTCTTGGTTGTACAAAGGATTGTTAAGGCTTTATTAACTTAATGGTCATAAAAGTGTCACGAAATATGTCATATCCTTGTTTATATGAATAGCCATAATTATGTTACACTGAATTGATTTTGTTGTGCAGATCAAGGATGGCTTTGCTGAGGGTAAAGATCTGGTTGTGAGTGTTATGTCAGCTATGGGTGAGGAACAGATTTGTGCCCTGAAGGATATTGGCCCGAAGTAATGGGCATGTCAGCTGATTGATGGAAAGTGTGAAAGTTGGAATTACGATAATTTAGTATTTTTGGTGATCTTTTGTGAGTTTGTCTATTAAATTAAACAAACTTTGAAGGTTGAACCAATCACGAAAGATGTGTTCAGAACTATGGGATGGGTTTCTTTAGGAGACGGTAACATATAATTTATTGTGTTAGATCAGTCCTAAACCATGAACTTTTCGATGGTGTAAAAAGGAGCTATATTGGCGAGAATGTACTGTTTATACAACTCCATAGCACCTATTATACTATTTTTCTTGTTGCTTTTACTTGTTGCCATACCTTTCCCCGTAGTTGAGAATAGTGATCCTCAAAGCCTAATGCTCACATTGGCTGTTTAAAAATAATTGTGAATATATTGGTATATAATTAATTAAAAAGGATTTTGTATGATATGGTGTATGGAGTTACTATTGTTGAAGAATGACATAAAAGGGCCACCAAAATACGCACAAGACAGATAAGAACTGTGAAATGGTTTAATTGCTTGAGATTCATCTGAAATCAATTTTTTTTTTTGGGTGAAATAATCTTAATATCCTTATTTAAAAAACTCCCTTTGTCGTCGGTTGTCAAAGCTGCGTCGATGAAAAGGGTCGAAATTTAGAGGGGCATAGAGCTATAATGTAGCAGAGGATGAAGAGGTAGACCAATAAAATAGCAAGTCAAAACTGCGATGATGAAGAAGAAACTTGTAAGAGCGATCATTTCAAATATAAGATCTGGGCCGAAAGCCCAAGCCCACTGAGGAAGTTAGCAAGTCGGTTCATTTACCCTGCGGAATATTCTCTCAGTTATCAAACATTTAAAAAAAAAAATTTATCATATATCTCTTTGTTTTTATTTATAAGTAAAATTATAAATTTTAAAAGGAATTTATTATATTTTTTAAATTGTCTCTCATAAAGTTAATGCTTATTTTCACTAGATAAATTTGTCTTGTTAATTATAAAGATAATTTAATTCATATTTTTTTAATTTTAAATATAATATTATATTTAATCAATTTTTTTAAATTGTGGGAATTAATTTTTGTTTATATTTGAAAATGGAGGAAGTACATTCTAAGGAACTCAACGTAGCATAATGCACCCCTTCCGGTAAATGCATATTTGGGAGTCCATTTTGGTGCCTCAGACAATTCCTTTTCCCATATGTGTCCCAAAATGGATACACAAACACATGCTACATCATATCTTTAACTTTTTTTTTTTTTAACATTTATAAGGTCCTACCTATCGGTTCTTAAAGCAAAACTTCTTACAAAATTTAATAGACAATTATAACTAATCTTCAAAAAAAAATTCTTTATCTCTATATGTTACTCTCTATTTAAAAATGTAAAATATTTTTAACTGAATTTTACTTTCAATAAAGTAATTACTTACTTTTAAATTAATCTTATTTTTTTATATTTATTCCTATTAAACACTCTACAATAAATATAAAATGATTCATTCAATAGGGACGCTTTTAAAAAAATAATCATATCTTAAAAAATTAAATATGCCTTATATTTTTTAACGGAAGGAATAATTTTTACATTTCTCTTCCCCACATGCTATACTAACTAAAGGATAATTTTAAAGAGCTATAAGAAAATTTAACATTTAATCAACTTTAATAAATTTTTCTGAATCTAAAAGAAAGTAATCAATAGGAGCTCATAAAAATTCCAAGAGAGTCTAATTTTATACAGCTTATGTAGAGACTGCATTGATAAATGACGATGCCTTATGCCCTCTTTTTGACTCGTTTGACTGAGGAAGTTGAGTTTAAGGTAAACGTGTATTTTTTGACATGTTTAGTGCTCGGTAGTACGAATGTTGAAAATTGATTACACCAAATCAAACTCAACTAAACCAACACAAATCAATTAAAATCAGTTTAGTTTTAAATAAGGTTTGCTCTTTTTTTTTTCTTTTTAACAAAATTGATTCATTTGGTTCAGTTGAGATTGTTGTTTCTTAAAATCTAAACCAAGCTTATATTAGATTTAACAAAGTTTAAATTTTTTGTCTAATTTTGAACTCCTTAAAAATATACTGTTAAAAAGAATTCTAAAATCTATGGTATTAATCAACTTTTATCAAAAAAAAACCTGGAATTACTAGTATACCCATGTTGGTCTGAGCTCTGAATTGACACAACTGAAGCATTGACTGGTTCAACGGAAGACCAATTCAAGGGTAGAACAGTCAACTTTGTCGCAGGGGGTCACAAGTGGCATTGAAAAGCTGAACGAAGTCATGAAGGCGATGATTCAGTTCCATAGACTGTACTGATGGGGATTGATACTTTGTCTTTTTTTTCGTTGCAAAAATTCTATATTACATATGGAATCTTGAACGTAAGCTTGTTAGTGCTTTCTTTTATTTTTAAGAAAATAAAAACAAGAACTAATCAATGCATACAACACATATTAAGGGACCACTGTTAGCTTGACAGGATTAAAATGTTAATCATATTAATTATTTAATATTAAGAGTTAAATGATAAATTTGTCCTTAAATTATAAGTTCAAGAACGTATAAAATCTTACACTCATTTTTCACACAATATTTTCTTTCAATAGTACAATATTACTCCTATAAAGTTAATAAATATTAACTTTGACAATTAATTAGTTAAAAAAATTACAGAAAAGAATCTTAAAAATTGCAGAAAATAATCAAGGAAATCACAAAAAATAGCCCTACAAGAAACAAATTAAATAACTTTTCTATAATGTTTTATTTCTTTTTTTATAATTGTTTAGTCAACTAACAATTAAAGTTTCCATTTATTCATAGTAAGAGCAATATTGCACAGTTTTAAAATGTTAAAAAAAATATTATATCAAAATTAAATTTAAAATTTCAAACATTCCTGAACTTATTATTTAAGGGTAGATTTACTCTTTAATCCTAATATTAATTGTATTTATGTCCATTTAAGAAACTTGTATACGGTGAAAGAAACATGTATACCACAAAAGAAAAATTGCACACATGAAAGACAACATGCAGAGACATGATATTCTCAGTATTTATGGAAGAAGAAAAAAATAACATAAAATTGGAGAAACATGTCTATATGATGGAAGAAAGATTGCACACATGCATGAAAGACAATGTGCATAGACATGTTCAATCTTTCTTTGGCAATATGCATTTTTCTTTCACTGTCTTCTTTAATAAATGTTGAAAAAATAATATGTGCAAATTGTCTTCCATTTTTTAATATTTTTTCTGCTGTTTGCAATGTTTTTTTCAACTGTATTTTTTTGTGAATTGTATATGAGTTCTCTTTTTTCTTTTTCTTTTTTCAAATGAACGTGGAAGAAATAATGTCTGCAATCAGTAAGTTGTCTCGCATGTATGCAAACTTTCTTTAATAGTATGCATGCATTTTTTTTTAAGTTTTCAAAATTTTCTTGTTTTGTATGTTTTTAGGAAAAATGTTTAGTAGTTCCTTTTGTTCTGTTATTTTCAATGTATTTCATTATGGTTATGTTTTTTGTCCTCCTTTTTCTTTAAATTTTGTGAATATTTTAATGCTATAATGTCGGTTTTTTAAAATAGTACTGAACTTTTTAAATTTAAAAGAAAAAAATGAAAAATGTTCAATTATCTGAAAAATTTTCAGGTTATGAAAAAAAAGATAAAAGAATAAATTAACTTTTAAATTATGAGTTTAAGAACGTCTGAAATTCTAAATTCATTTCTTATGAAATTTTTCTCTTCAACTATTGAAAATAGTACAATATAACCTTGTTGTTAAAAAAATTAATGTTGACCATTAATTATCAAGAAAGGACAAAAAATGATCAAAAAATATCATTGGTTTTTTTTGTATAATTTTTGAGATTTTTTTATCATTTTCTAATAAATTAATGGTTAAATTTAACTTTCAATGGTTGGGACTAAATTGTTCTATTTTTAAAATTGAATAGAAACATTGGATAAAAAATAAGTTTGAGATTCTAGACGTTTCTAAATATATATTTTAAGGACCAATTTGTTCTTTTACCCAACAAAATTTGTGATCATTTTCTGAATTACATGTTTTGATTTGAGAGCAATTTCATCATGTCCTCCTCAAATCCATTTGTCTTGGTTTTTAAAATGATTTCAAGTCCTTTTGCACAATAAATTTGTTGAGACCTCCTTTTAAGAATTTTTTTTTCTAAATTAAAATGTGTTTTACAATAATTTATTATTTAGTTTGGACACTATATATTTTTTTCATGTTTTTATTAAATTTAGTCAATTTTTATTAAAAAATTGGATAATTAATAATCACCCCTTCCATGCACGGATTGATCTTATGTATAGTATTTGAATTAAAAATAACCCAATGAATAAATAAAATTGCACACTCCCTTTGTTAAAAAATATAAAATATTTTTTAAAGAGTTTGGATATTTAAAAGAGATATTTTTAGTATTTTAAGGTATAATTATTATTTTTTAAAAGTGCTCCAAATGAATAAATTACTTTATATTTATTTCAATGAGAAACACTCTATTAAATAAGGATAAATATAAAAAATAATATTAATTTAAAAATAAATAACTACTTTATTAAATGTGAGATTTAGTTAAAAATATTTTACATTTTTTAACAGAGAAGTATATGATTCATTTTCATTACTTTTGTTTTTCTTTCTATCTATTAAACTAGAGAACATGCGCTTGCGATTGGATGTTGATATGGCACAAACGATGTTACTAATACTAACATGTCAATTAATATTATTAATTTTATGCTTACAAGTCAAACTCATGTTAATTTGGACTTTTTGTTAAGCAATTTTTTTTTTTAAAAAAAAGAATACATCAAATGAAATAATTTTTTTTTTCATAAACCTTATATTGATCATTTAAGAGTTTGGGTTAGCCTTTTTTGTTTATTTCATCTGATGTAAGATTTCTTTTTAAATTTTTGCTTATTAAACAAATTCATATCAACATCAATTTCACATACAAGCACGAAATTAATGGTGTTAATAGACATATTAATATTATTAACATTATTTGTACCACATTAATGTCCCTTTAAAAATGTAGGGACCAATGTTATAGATGAAAAAAAGTATAGGAAGTCAAAATACTAATATATATATATATATATATATATATGAACCTATACCAAAATTGAAACAAAATGTGGGCACTAAAAGTAGTGTTTTCCCAAACGATAACACAATTTTACACAGCACATTTTCTATTAGGAACCAATATAATCAAGGACCAATAGTACAAAGGCTAATATAATAAGATCTGATAAAGTTTTAATACTATGTTATCAAAAAAAAAAAAGAGTTTTAACACTATATCATGTCAGGTATCACGTACCAGATCATTTTTAATGTCCATTACCAGCAATAAGGCTCCCAGCATGGTATGAGAATTTCTAAAAGTGCTTATCCGGTTTCATGTCTTTTATATGCCGATGACTCCACTTTATTTTTTGAAATGTACTGCTCAAGATGGTTGCAAGTTGAGGAGAACCCTATAATTCATCCTGCTTTTGGAAAGGATCTCTCACGCTTCCATACTCTTAATTTTTTTTTTTTTATTGCATACCAATATCCTTCTAACCCTTATTGAATACAATTATATTCGAGACATAATTGAATACTAAATATGAGAATATTTTTCAGTGACAGCACTAAATTAGTGAAGTTTTAGCCTAAAAGCCTGCATAACTTTTTTTAATTAAAATTTCTAACTATATTAATGCATATATAAATTACAAAGTACCTTAATTAAATATTTAAAATATAAATATTCTTTAGTTGTTATTAGAAATAAAACATTAGACCCTTAGGGAAGTTTATTTGGAGGAGTTGGTGTGATTTCAACAGCACCACTAACTTTATTTTTATCACCTACAATAAATATATAACAAATTATGTTATTCTCATATATTATTTAAAAGTTTTAAGTAAATTATACTCTCTTTGTTAAAAAATATAAAGTATTTTAATTAAATTTTATCTAAATAAAGTAATTACTTATCTTCAAACTAACACCATATTTTCATATTTATCTCTATTTAATATGGTGTTTTATTTTAAAATAAATATAAAGTAATTTATTTATTAGGGGTACTTAAAAAAAAGACAATGATTATACATTAAAAATTAAAACATTAAAAATATCTTATAATTTTTAACATTTAATTCTTTAAAAAATATATTAAATTTTTAAACAAATGAAGTATAAGAAAGTTTTAAAAAAAATAGTACGGCTAACCCGAGCCCTTAAGGGTAGGGTTTATAAGGACAGAACCTAAACATCTTTTTATATTAAAATCTTTTTTTTAAATTGAGGCCTCAAAAATATAAGAAATAAAAGGGTAGATTTCATGCCTGGTTTTTATTGAAGACTCTAGTTATGATGTATGACAAGATAATTAGTTTAGTAGATAGAATAAAAGTATTATATAATAACAATAATAAGATTCATCTCATTGGGTTAGAGTTAGCTAATAAAAGTAATATATAATAAAATTTTTCATATCTTGCACGGTCTCATAGGCTATATCAAACTATCCATAATTTTAATGTATAGGGGCATTATGGTGTATAATTATACTAATACAATACATCATGTGCACTAAACAAGTGAGAAGCATATAATGTACTGCATTAGTTTATACTCCATTCATTTCAATTTATAAAATAGTCAAAGATAAAATCATACATATCAATAAAATCTTATTAAATATATTTTACAACTTTATTTTTTAAAATAAAAATATAAAATTACAAAAATATTCTTCATTAAAATAATATTAAAGAGAGAGAGAATATAATAAAAAAAGTAATATTGAAAAAGCATCACTAAATAAAAGTTATTTTTGTCAAAGCCTTTTATATTCTATGATATTGAATCTCCCTAAAAAAATATCTTATAATTTAAAAAGGAGATAGTTGTTTATACTATCATGTTTTATATCTCATTTCAAACATATCCTTAATCCAAGAGGAAATAGTTAACACTCCCATGGTTCTCCTAGAAGAATTTTTTTTTATCCTAAATATAACTCATTTAATGTGGTATTAATATGTTTTTTCAATATCATTTCTATTTAAATTTATTAACTATGAGAAAGAATGTGATATAGATTAAAAAAATTCATTTAAATATGGTAAAATTGAAAGTTTATTATATTTTCATATAAAGTTAATAATTTAATTATAATGTCTACTTTGATATTACCAAAACATAACTTACATGACATACTATCATAGTAATTAAGAATTAATTAATCCTAATAATATACAATGATAGAAAAAGGGTTAACTAGTTTATTTTAAAATCATGTAAAGTTTAGATCTCAATAAAAACCTTTAAAAAAAACAACGGTTGAGCTTAACACATAATTAAAAATTAGAGTTTAGAATACATGGGAAGCATAGGCATTGAATTAGAAGGAAATAAATGAAAATGAGGGCAAAGCTATAATTTTTTTCAAACTAAGGCTGTAGGCCTAACTCTGCTACTTGCGGCAAGATAGGACTTCTAAACAAATGTATAAATTGATTATGGGGGCTACATATAGTGTTAGTGAATGCCATGAGGATTTAGGCTACTTTATTTAAGGTGAACTTCCACTCTCACACACTAATGATCACGCTTGCATTCACTCATTATAATATCACGTGATAAATCAGTGTTTTTAAAACTGGACCGAATGGTTGGATTGGCCCAACCTTCGATCGGTCTGGATTTTGATTTTGTTTATATGAGAAAACTATTTTAGGGGTTGAACTGGGTTAGATTGTTTTGAACCAGCGATCGGATCGGGAACTAAAATCAAGCTGGGAGCCGGATCCAATTTTTAACAATTGGACTGTTCAAATTTTTTTAAATTTTTTATCAATTTTTTAAAAGTGACTAATTTTTTTTAATCATTTGATATTATGTTGTATCATGTGGCTTGTTAAGTCATGATAAACTTAAAATATTTATTTTTTTAAGTTAAGTAGCGATTTCATATGTATTTCTTATATTTAGATTATTAAATACATATATAATTTTTTAATTTAATTATTACGTCACCAATTTGATCATTGGTCCAACCCAGTTGAACCATACCAACTGTAAATCACTGATTTTTTTGGTTCACTATCCGATCCAATTCTAAAAATATTATGATAAATACCATGGTCAGCATGCCAACATTGTCAATCAAGTTCACAACACATATACATATATTTAGATATAAAAATCTTGTTTTTTTAAAACCATTTTTTCACTTTACATAAGTTTTCAAAGCTAAACTCACACACGCGCATGTGTGTGTGTGTGTATATAACTATTTATTTCACTAGATCTCATAAATGATCTAACAAGCAAGTAAGCAAAGTAGATTATCCAGTTATTTTAACCCTTTTTTTTTTCATAAAAAGGGTAATCCATGAAATTAAATACCTTCATCTAGCTTGCACTTGCTCCAGGGTATCCAAAGAACTATAATTTACAAGATTTAGCACTATGTGCCAATTCTCAATTCTAACGTCGGCACTTTTAGCTCACATAAGCTAAGCCAAGTCCCTAACTTATCATAAGTATAATCAAAACTTTAGCCATCTTTCATTAGCTCTATTTAATTTTTATAAGAATAAACAACACTAGATTATGGTCCAAATTACTCTGAAAGTTTCATCTTAAGTCTAAAGTTTGTCCAAACCTTAGGTCCCAACTCCAAAACATAATAAAATCCATAAACCTATATATAAAAACTTAAATCAACTCAAAATAGCTCTATTTTAAGCCCAAGGTTTGTCCAAACATTAGGTATCAACTTTAAAACACCATAAAATCCCTAAACCTAAATACAAAAACTTAAATTAACTCAAAATAACACCATTTAAGCTAGTAGACTTGCACCCAAACCTTAGAGTTCGAGAATTAGCACCTCCCATGCCCAAAAATCCTAATAACAACATGTATAGAGGTAGAAGGTAGGAGTAAGAAGTTTACTTAAATGATCAATGGTCCAAATGAGCTCCCAAGAGTCTAAGGTTGGAAACCCTAGCAAAGCAATTTCTCTTCTCCATTGCTCTTTCTTTTTCCCTCTTATTGCGAGTAACTTGCGATAGTTTTAACTAAACTTATCACTATCCTTTATGTAAATGGTTCAATTTAGCCCATACACAAATTGGGCCTTCCACCTAAGTTTGATTAGTCTAATAACCATTCTAACCTAACTCCGAAGCCATCTAATAGTCCAATAGGTTTGTTAGTAATCCAAAAAAATGATTATCTTAATTAATTGATTATTTTACTAATTTAACCATAATTATTTTATTAATTCTTAATTAAAAACTTGAGATGTTACATTAACCACCTCTTATTTTTTGATAAGTTGGGTACCTTAAGGACTAACGGGAGTAATAGTAAATTAGTAAGCAGCATTTAATGAACTAATTGAGGCTTTCACACGTGAAAACCCATAATCACTTACTCTTAAATATTATCAACAAAATAAGGAGCTTAGTCATAATAGACTAAATTATTACTTTGGACTATCTTTTCAGACAAGCAAATAGATAAGTGAATTGGTTTGTTCATCAAGCATTGAATGTCAATCAAGTTACTATTTGTAGAATTGCCCTTAAGATGCAGAAGCTCTAACATGAATTGATTTTTTTTCTTGTACAGTATATGCGGCCTTTGTATTAAAAAAAAAAAAAACAATTAGCAGCTGCGAGACGCCTAATGTCGAAAGAATAGTTAGGGCCCCACATCATTGGGCTGCACTTATCATTTCATGACATCGCTGTCCAATTTGTGCCAACGACCCAAAAGGCACGCAATCCCAAAGTCGTCCAGGTCAATAGCCTCCTGTGTCCTGTGACAGTTAGCTAATCCCATTACATGGACCCCACCACCAACAAGGTTAGAGGAAAAACCAATCTCATCCTATGATTTTTCATTTTTGCCCTCCAAATTCGGCAAACCAACTAATTGCTAAGCGCTACCCTGCGTGCGTGGACTTTTCGAGATCTAGACGAAGGGCAAGTGTTATTAGTCTTTCTCATTTTGCTCGGCTTTTGTCTAATTCTAATCCATTCCAATGGGTGGAATTGGTGAGCAACCACCACCGTCTTCGTCGGCGCCGGCCAAGATAGGACCTCCACCTCCACCTCAGCCAAGCACTTCGATGGACACGCTTTTCAATGGTGGGTCCTCTGGCGGCTCCGGCTTCGGGTTTAGTCCTGGTCCGATGACTCTCGTCTCGAATTTCTTCAACGAGAACGACGACTTCAAGTCCTTCTCGCAGCTTCTCACCGGCGCTATGCCGTCTCCATTGTTGACGGAGCAGGATAGGCCTTCCGTTGAGCAGCCGCCGATGCTGGCAGTTTCGCCAGGGTTGAGCCCATCTGGCTTCCTCGATCCCCCCAGGCTTTTTTCGGCTTCTCAGGTAATTAAATTAAATCTCGTTTCTGAATTGCTTCTACTGTAGAAGAATGATATGGTTGTATATATCATCGTCTTGTTGACTGGTTAATCATTAGCACAGGTCTCAGGCCAGGGTATGCAGGTCAACGAAAATTCATCTTCTTTTACTTCCATTGCCAAACGAGTTCAGACGATGCCACCAAGCGCATCATCAATCGCAGATTCTGGGACGTCGTCTTTATCAATGAAGGAATGTCCCGACGATGGATTCAACTGGCGCAAGTATGGGCAGAAACAGGTGAAAGGAAGTGAGTTCCCTCGAAGTTATTACAAGTGCACGCATCCAAATTGCCCCGTCAAGAAGAAGGTTGAGAAATCCATCGACGATGACCACGTTGTCGCCATCATTTACAAAGGACAACACAATCATCAACCTCTTCGGCTCACCAGCAGCAGCAACAAGCACGCAAAAGACACAGCATTAGCAGCAGCTTCGAATGTCGAGAGTTTTAACGCGCGAGGAACAACCCGGAGGGAGTCAACAGCGCCCGAACATGTGGCAGAAGGATCAAGTGATGACAGTGAGGAAGCAGCAGGTTATCGCGATACTGATGAAGTGGAGGAGAAAAATGACGAGCCTGACCCAAAGAGGAGGAGGCAAGGTTTTTTCTTTGTGGCTGTGATATAGCGTGTGTGTGTGTGTTGATGATATTCATGATTAAGAAGTTGATATGTATCCTAAAAGAAGAGAAAATTTTGAAATCTGCAGAAATACAGAAGCAATGGTGCATGAGGCAGTGTCTTCGCATAGGACAGCCATGGAACCTAGGATCATTGTGCAGACAACAAGTGAAGTAGACCTGCTTGACGATGGGTATAGATGGCGAAAATATGGCCAAAAAGTTGTCAAAGGCAACCCTTTCCCAAGGTGAAATACCTCGTACATCATTAATCTCTCTGTTTTTTTTTTTTTTTTTGAAAGTGGGGGGTGGGTGGGTAAGGATGAGCACATCATTAATCTCGTTTATTAATTAGGGTCCATGTACAGAACTACAGGGTAATACCTCTTGTCCTGTTTTAGTATTTTTAGAATTGAGGGAGAATGATTTTTTTTAATTCTATTTACAAAGTTACGTTATTATTAAATTTTTAGATAAAATTAATGAATTTTATCTTCTAAAATTTTTTTTAGTTCGAGTAAAAATGTTAAAGATAATTTATAAATAGGATAAAAAATATAATGCATTCCTTTTTTTTTATACATAATACATTCCTTTTCTTGTTCAAGGGATATTTGATTTTCCTAGCTTATCCATATTAATGCTAGTTTAGGTGGTAAGAATGAGATTTAGGGTTCAAACTCCTTTTTTTTTCTTTTCTTTTCTTTAAAAAACATCATACATTAATTAAGGACGATCTTAATCAAGACTTTCAAGCCAATTTTGTTATTTTAAGTGCGCAGTTAATAAAGTTTTTTTTTCCGATATAGTTCTTTTGCAATTACAATTTTTTCTTCTTACTTAAATTTTACCACCTTAAAAAATATAATGACTTGAAAAGCTTGGTTGAATCTCTTCAGTGGTTCTGCAGATTTGATAATTAAGATCTATATAGTAACCAAAAAAACTTCATTTTCATCATTGCATGTAAGATTATTGGCCAAAAAAAAATCATTGCTTGTAAGATATTTTTTTTGTTAAATTGAACATAGCTTTAAAAATCTTAAAATCCCATTAGTATATTATCATGGGGCGCAGTAAATTGATATGTTTTGATATGTTTTTTAATAGAAAAAAAAATTGAAGTTGAGTACTATCAAGCTAGATAATTTGAGTCAAATAGTAGTTTATATATATATATATATATATATCACTTCCCCTCAGATAATATATATACTCTAAATAGCCTCTCTCTTGAACAAAAAGATTAGACTAAACTAGTAACATTATTTATTATAGTGCCATTTAAGTAGAGTAATTTGTTAAAAGAATTATATTTTTCATTCACATTCTTGTATGATCTTAATTAATAGATTGACTTACTTTTTGCTCCCTCTAGTCTTATTTGAAAGACAAATAATAATATTTTGGTCCTTTATAAAGTATGTCATTGTTTTTATCAAACTTCTCTCCTTTCTTCCTATTAAATATTAGTGAGAGAAAGTAAGTGACAAAGTTAAAAATTTATTAATTTTTTAGAGAGTTAAGGAGTTTTAAATTTTTTTTAATTTTAATAAGATAAGTATGTTGGAAATGAACCGGAGGGGGTTAATTAACCCCCAATAAACATGACCTACCTTAATTAGTGAGGTGAACTTAATATGGATCCCACAATTTGAATTGAATGACTCATAATCAACTATTATTAAATTTGAGTTTTAATAAATAACAGGACTGATTGATGATCATGCACGTGAAAAATCCAACAAAATAATTACGTCAATTTGCTAGACGTGTTTTGCAATGAAACTCACCTTAATCATTCACATTGTCTCGACTCAGATTATATATACTACGACAATGAACAATCCTTCGTCTAGAATTGTCCTGGAAAATTTAATAATGCCGGATGTTTCTGTCATGTGTAGGAGCTACTACAAGTGCACCACCACAGGTTGCAATGTTCGGAAACATGTCGAGAGGGCATCCTCGGATCCTAAAGCTGTCATTACAACATATGAAGGAAAACACAACCACAACGTGCCAGCAGCTAAAAGCAACAGCCACACTATTGCCAACAACCCAGCATCACAGCTTAGACCCCACAATACCACAATACCAGAGAGAATTAGTTTCATTAATGGTGGAGGTATTGGTGGGGCCAATCAGCAGCAACAGCCTGTGGCACGTCTTAGGTTGAAGAATGAACAGATAACCTAGTTTAGGATTGCAGACACAGGCTGCAACACCAGGTATAATCCGAGGATAAAACTTAGATGTTGTTACTATAACACTTTGTTCTTCTCTTCTGTAATGCTACATCAGATTATTACTGGTTTTAAATTAGATAGTCTTAAAACTGATATGGGAATTTACAATTCCATAGTCATGTGTTCTTTGATGTTCTGTGCATCTTCATTTTCAATCTAGGGCCAAAGTTTTGATACAGTGGGGTATAGCCGTATAGGGATCAAAGGGTCTAGAAGTTGTGTACCAGTTGTGCCTTCTGTGTATTAAATTTGGTTTTTCATGGTTTCATCTTGTAATTCATTGCTGAGAAATTTCTGAATCATATAAAAATTGGCATTGTTGACTTTGATGTTAGTGCATCAGGCTTTTTTGAATCATATAAAATGCAACTTTCATTACTTGTAATTATATCTCTATTATCATGTTGGCATTTGCGACCCAGTTAAGCATTGACAGACAAAAAATCATCATCATCATCATCATTAAATAAATAAAATCAGAATGGATTCTTACTGTAGAATCATTGGACACACAATGATGATTTTTGTTGAGGTTGCATGATGCTATTCTCCTGCAGGGGTCACTTCTAGTTACAGTAAAACTAGAAATAATATGAAGCTATCAGAACATCAGAGACTCTGCAACAAAATGGCTCACTTCTGATGAGATTCATGCCTGCCTAGTGCCTACAGCTAGGAGATAAGATGAGATCCACCAAAAAAAAAAAAAAAAAATTGGTGTAGGGAAAGAAAATATATTCACCTGTCCATCTCTGGGAACATGAACTTATGATGTATGGGTACTTGAGACACATCTCAGAGATGAGAAAGATTGGTCATACTGAGTACAATTTGGGATTTTTACAGCAACATGACAATCATAATATATATTCAAACACCTTTATATACATATCACAGAAAGAAAGCTAAACTTTCTTCAAATTTGCTTCCTCTTCTTCCCGTTTTTTTTTTCCCTTTTTCCCCTCTAGATACTTTAAAAATGGTATGGTATTGGCACCAAATAAGCCAATTCTTTACTAGTCATCCTTCTTCATTGTTTTATTCTGCCATTGAAAGAGGAGGGAAAGAAGCTGGCTCTTACCCATTAAACCACCTGAATTAATCCTCTTGTAGAGTTACAAGATTTGAAATTTGACCACGGTTAACAAAATCAATCTTATTCAAACGTACACAGCACAATACTTGCTCCGGCAATTCCTCTGGCTTTTGTGCCTGTTAAAGCATATCAAGAGAGAGAGAGAGAGAATGAAAATGGAAGCTTATTCTTAATCACACACTCCTCTTTCATACTCTCACGTAGAACGTGATTGTGTGACAAACCCGCATACTCTCCCTAGCTCTAAATGTAGAAACTAGATAACTAATTCACATAGATTAAGGAAATTAGTTGAGTTAGTTATTTGTAATGTGTATTAGTCTCCCTAAAATGCCCCTATTTTAATCGTTAAAAGTAGAAACTACCCTTATTAATGCAAACAATCAATAGAGGTAGTTTGGGGAAAAATAATAAATGAGGGAGACAAAAGAGATTGAGGTCTTATATTTAGAACCATACAAAACTCTTCATCTAGCTCCAATATTTAGGATTGGAAGGAGTACATTTACTTTATGAAAATAGAAAATTCTGATAGTTTCTTCGAATAAAATGTAAAACAATGCAGATAAGAGAGAAAGGTGACTAAAGAATACCCAATCAAGGTAACTATGAGATAAGCAAGCATGGATTACAAAAGTGGGCATTTTGCAGAAGCTAGTATATCAAAACTGTTTTCATTGAATAATGTAAAACATGCTATACCTGGATAGTTAAGCCCAGATCAAGTATTCCATGCTTTGTACGGTCTCGAAGCGCATCAAGTCCTTTCCTAGAAATGTAGCTAAAGCGATGAATATCCAGATCAATCTCAAAGTAGTTAGGTCCCTGCAATTAATGAACACAGCAAATATTGAGAGCTTCAGGAGCAGAAGAATCATTCTGTATTGTAAAGCAAGCTTCATCTTTCGCTAAAATAAAAGGTAGAATATATAAAACTAAACCAATGATCTGTATTCTCTACCAAGTTCATGTTTGTCTAAGCATGGTAAATGCTTTGTTAAACCAAACAAACATAAAGTATGCCGCTTTCATGATCTTCTAGAATGACACCACATGAAATATTTTCTAAACTTCCTGTATGAAGAGGTCATGTAAAAAATTGTGAGCTTGTATGTACCGTAAAGAAATTGTGCTGAGGACGCGAAAGCACTGGCTTGCCATTATAGGCATTTATAAGCCTTTGCTCTGCAGAACTAAGATGAAGATCCTCTGGATTAACAACACCAGCTAAAATTTTTAGCCTTTCCCTAAAGGGAACCATGCTTTCTGATGCGAATCCTTTCACCTTTTCCATCTCATCAGCTACTAATTTCTGTTACAGTGAAAGGTTCATTTAAATATGTAAACTTGCAGATTTAAAATAAAAGTTGCTACTATTGATGGGAGAAATTACCTTGATGCTCTCCCGAAAGTGAGGAGAGATCTCTTGGTCAAAATTATCAGACACTTTAAAATATAATACAAGACTCATGCCCTCCCCATCATTATCACCGAACATGCTGGCAGTGTATGTAGGCAACTGGAGAGGGCAGCACAATTTGTTATATGCTCGAATGAAAAAATAAAAATCATAGAACAAGATGTGCTATATATATAGTTTAGAATGGAAACTTAACCTGTATATTTATAATAAGGAGAGAAGGTACTTCGTCGTGTGCTTTGATTGAAGGAAGTTCGATATGCTGAGCAATGTGACTTATTTTCTTTGGGCAGACAAACAAATCAGCACCTATGGGTATATAAGGGCTGCAATCTGGAGCAGGGGACTTCTGCTTATCTCTGCTTAGTTAATTACTAGAACATAAATATTCAATCTTTCCAAGGAAACAAAAGATAGATGCATTAAACATGTCAAAAGGTTGACATATACAATTTGTGGACATGCCTGAAATAGTTTTTGCCACGGACACTGAAGACTGAAGGCGAAAGAGCAGACCAAGAACCAGGCAATGGCTTATCTTCGTTTGAACATGGAATTTGAAGCCCTGATCTGGGACGATAAAGAAACTTCTCAGATGCACCTGACATCCACTCAATTTTGTTAACATAACATTTTCACATTTTACTCTGACAGGATTAAATTAAATTCTATATATAGGAAACTAAGTCAGGGTCAATCAAGAATGAAACATGTAATGGAATAGTATTTCCTCATATCTTTGGAAACAATTAGATTCTTAAGGTTGGAAAAGGAAGTTCTAAATGTTAAGGCATATATAATAGTATTTGTACATTTAGGCTTTCTATATTATTCTATATGACCAAAAGTTCTGATACACAACAAACTAATCATTGTTTATAAGAAATTCTGTATCATGTACTTACACAGCTCAGTCTTCTCATTTCCATCAACAGACGTCCTCTTCACCGAAACCATGATAACTCTCGACTGCTTTATTTGAGACGATTGAGAATTCTGATTCGTGTCATTAATATTGAGGTAGCTCTCATAATATTCCTCATATTTTCCCTCTGAATCTACAAAACATGATGAAGTTTCATACTGAAGTAACTGAGTATTTGTGATGCTCCCTGCAGTATCATTCACAAAAAGGAAAACAAGCAGTCAGCCGCAAAGGGGGGAAAAACCAAGAGACCTCTTAAACAAACATGAAGTCTCAATCCTCAGTCAGTCTCCAAGTTTTGATAAGATTTACATGCATTACCTCCATACACACTGCTAAAATCGTCATCTGAATCAGACTCTATCATACTAGAAGAGTCAAACCATGCTTCATCTTGGCATGTTCCTGTAAAATCAGTTCTCAGCATGTGCGTGTATATATATATATATATGAAAGAAATTCTCATCAATCATTAGAACTAGAAAATCCATCAAATTTGTTGTTAGGAATAGGAAGCAACCGCTCAGAAACAAGATGAGAGAACAAATAGGCAAAGAGTAGTGAAATAACACTGCATCTTAACCCAAAACCTCAAGGTTCAAGTTAATGGGTCCTTTTTCTTTATTTTGTATTAATAATTAAGTCTAATTTTATTTGATGTGAGACTTCTTACATCCACTTAACTCTACTACTCACACTTGAACAACCTAACATTGGCTAATGTGGTGAGAAACATCCCACAAATATCAAGCAACGTGGCAGACAAGACAAAACCAAGAGAGAAAAGGTACCATTTGGTTCAAGTTGACTGTGGCTGTGGTATTGCAGCTGAGTAAGATGAAACATTCGGTTCGAGACATTGGATATCCGGCACGCTGCCGAAGTGCCCTTATCAAAATCAAAGTGAACAAAGTCACCATGAGGGTAGTCTCCTTTCAAAGGAACATCAGGGAGTGCAGTGGATCTACGTCTCCCAAATCTATTCCTTCTTTTATGAGTTCTGGTCTTCCTGTTTGATGTGGAAGAACAGATTCCCATGGAAGCTCCCAGCTTTTTCAATAACTTTGACAACATGATTTGGGATTGCTGCAATTAATAATATAGTGGTGCCAGCTCAGTAAAAAATTCAGGCACAGAGCCTTTATTCTCTCTGAGAAGAAATAACCTGCAGCCGTTCAAACAGTAAAAGTTACCTTTAAGAAACATGCAGAATAAAAACCAATAAAATGTCATAATTCAAGTAAATAGAGAAGAGGCTTGAAAACAATTTATTAGGCAATTAGAACAAGCCCAAGTCAAATATTGAGGACATACCTTCAACAAATTGAAAATTTACAGAGGGGAAAATGTTCTCCTCATCCCAAACCAACTGTAAAATTTAAAAGTGAAACCCCACAAGTAGACGAACCTGTGAAGTTCGCCTGAGAAATTAATATATAGATCCATCAGCAAGTGACAAGCATTTACAAATCAATCCTAAAATTCCAGGTTCAAACATGCATAATATTCCCAATAGAAAAAATAACTTAGCTCGCCCAGGCAAGTATCACTCTTCATATTAGAAGCATTATCAGGCTAGGTTGGCAGATAAAACAAAACAAAACAGGATACAAAATGAGGAGAGAAACTTCATTATTCAACAGGTGCACTCAAGAAAACAGATTTAGAACATGGACGAGAAATTTAGAAAAGGGTGATTCAAGACTGAGATTTTCGTGATGATGAAGAAGAAGAAGGACCTGAGAGGTGAGGCAGGGGATTGTGTTGGGTTGAAGAAGCGAGGAGAAGTTGAAGCATAAACGAGGAATCGTCGTTCCCAGAAAGGAACTAGGATTCCTCTGTCCCTGTCTCTCCGTGTGTTATTCTCTGTTGTTTCTTTTGTCTCTGAATGCGAAAGAATAACACAAAAGCTGTTCCAAAAATTCCAGAGAGACACAAACAAAGAATAACAATTTCAAAACTTCAACGCAGCGTCCGTTGTATTCGGATCCTACTTCGTTGCTGTCAGTATATACCCCATCCATTTCCGTCCCTCCCTTAATTTCTCTCGGTCTGTTAATTTTTATTTTTTATTTAGTTTTCTTCCCCCACTCCGTCTTCCATGATTTCGCGGCAAAAAGATAACTGAATTCAAGGACGCACTTTTTCCTGTCCACGTGTCGTCTAGTTAGAGCCTGTGACTCCTGTACTTGACACGCTGACATTCCTTTGTAATTTCTCAGTGGCATAATAATTATCTCTTTTTCTGGGGATTTCGGCAGGATGCTTGTGAGATTGTAATTTTTAAATTTTAATATAATTGAAGAATAAAAAATTTTATTTTTTTGTTAAAATTTAAAATATAAATTATAAATTTATCATAATATAATTATAAAATTATAAAATTAAATTATAAATTATTAAAATTTAATGTTTAAAATCTAGCTTGAATTAATTATTCTTTTTAAGACTTCTCTATTATTCATCCAACAATAAATTGCAACCTAAAGGTTCCCTAGTCAGCGGTCAATGTTAGTTTTGTGTTCAATAAGCTTGTCAGACATGCAGGCAATCAAGGTAAGCATATTTTTGAATCAGTCAAATGTAGTGCTACCTTCATTTTAAATTATAAGGCATTTAAAAAAATTATCCTAAAATATAAGATACTTTGAGTAGATTAAATTTTTATTAAATACATTAATTTTAATATTATCCTTTCACTCTCTATAATTAATTTCTATCTCTTTTTTTAATATATTAAATTATGGGTATTTTTAAAAGTTTATATTTTCATTTTGAAAATATAAGGTAGTTAAGTGTATCTAATAAGATTTATTGGTATATAAAATTTTATTTAAAAGTATCTTATATTTTGGGACGGAGGGAGTATTAGAATCTTTAATTAAAAAAAAAAGGTATTAATTATCTTTAGTTATTATTCCATAAAAAGCCTTGAAACTAAATATACTTATATCCATCCAATTAAGTCATAATAAATGAATCTTAATATATTAATAACATTAATAACATGAATCTATTATAGCATAAATAATATATAAAAGCTCTGCATGTCTTGATTTAATAAAAAACGAGTACATTAAATATAATGTTAAGTATATAAGTTTTTTCCAATTTGATATTACACTTAAACCATCAAAATCATAATTTTGATGAAAGAAACTAACTAAATCAAATATTCTTCAAATCCTTCTATCACAAATTTATTCACAATATAATCCTCTAGATTTGAGGTATCAACTATACCATCTTTGTTGTCCCTTTTAATACCTAAAATTTCAACCCTTCACTTGGAATAATTAAATAAAATTTCTTTTACTATTAATTAAAATGAAATGTTGAGATTTTAGGTATTTGAAAATAAAGTACAGCAAAAGAAAACTCAAATCCATGATACTTCATATCATAATAGAGTAAATTTATTACATATCATAATACAGTTACTTTCAAAGTTAACCGTACAAGGCATCTCTTCATAAAAGTACATTTTTCCCCTTGCTTGAGAGTCAATATGTTTTGACCAAATGATAGTAGAATCATCTCTAAAAATTTATAATGGCCAATTTCTTTCTTTTTTTTTAATTTATTTATTGAGGTGCAAATACAGTCAGGTGACACAAGAACTTTCAATCATCAATGATCAATAATATTTCCTATATATAATTCATCACCTAATCTCATAACTCACCAGCCCGCTTGCTAGTATTTGGTACAATGAATCCATCTCTATATTATGTTACGTTGCCTACTGTGCAGTTTAATACGTTGTTGCTATGTATTTTCACATTATATAAAAAATATGCAATTTACGTACTGAACTTTTAAACGTTGTTGCTGTCTCTTTTTATATTTTTAAGTTTTGATGTATTAAATTAAATGAGAGTTTATTTTAATGATGTGGGTGGAGAATGAGTTGAAAGTAGAAATAGACAAGGAACTTTAAGTGAAAAAGAATGATAAAGCAACAAAAGGTACTCAAAAATACAAAAGAGATAAGAAAAGGTGGTGGAATCACCAACCCAATCATTGAATTTGAAAGTAAGCCCTCAGCAGCGCTTTCATCAAACCCTAAACAAAATAGGACTCATCAATATATATATATATATATATATGTTTGTATTTTTTTTCATAAAACTCTTTAATTTCGATTAGTTGCAGTGTTGCACCTCATGTCAATTCTATAACTACCTTGATGGAAGTGACTACTCAACAACACATTTATGAGACTTTACTATACCATCATGATTCTTAATTAGCCATTTATTTGTTTGAATTTTAGTACTTGTTTGGTAAACCACTTTTAAAAGTTCAGATGATGTGATGAAGGCAGATTATTATTCATATTTTATTTGTCATGCATGCACGTAGGAATGTTGAAGAAATTAAAGTAAGCAAAAAGTTTTAGGGATTTACTTTCTCTCGAGTTGAGATTAGCAAATTTGTGTAAATTTTTTAATTTTTAAATATTTTCATATATTTTATTATTTTGTAAATAAAATATAAAATCTTCTCTCTTTCTTAAAAAGGAAAATTTCATAAAAATTCACCAATATCAATTTTAGAGAATTTAAATTCAAGTTTTACGTGTGTGTCTTTTTATGTGTTTAGGATCACAGTTCCTAATAAAAATATTGTATGCTTGAACAATATTTATCAAACAATTAAATTAGATAAATGCATGTGGTGTTTGAATTTGTATAAAATAGTGGCTGATCCACCAATGATAATTGGGAGTGAGCACATATAGCACCAAATGACATATAAGATTTCGAGTTTGGGTCTTGCAAAATACAAACACAAAATATATGTTCGCTCTGTTTTTTAATGAAATCAAAACAAATTTATAATCCCCTTTTTTTTTCTCTTTTCTCATAAGCAAAACAATAAAAATTTTGGAAAAATTGCACTGAAGGACCCATGGAGATAGCATTGAAGGATCCTAAGATTTTAAAATTTCATTGCACATCCAATGGATATAAATGAAATTATATTTGATTGGAAAAGGAACAAATTACCCCCAATATGACATATGAATTGATATGAAATCATGTTAGATTAACAATCAACCATCCGTGTTTTTAACAAGTTTAAAGTAACACAACTTGATTGAAAAATAGACAAGTGTAGATGTTATACCTGCAAATGGTCTTTTTTTTTTTTTAAGTGAAATGCACCCAATGCATGTTTTAAGAAGTTTAAAATGTGACAAGGCCTAGTTAAAAAAATGGACAAGTTTAGATGCTATAAAAAATAAGTAGTCACTCATTTTTTTACAAGCAACCATGTTGAATTAACAAGTTCTCATGTGTGTTTTAATGAATTTAAAATGTGACAAGGCCTAATTAAAAACATAGGCAAAGTGTAGATGGTCTATCAATAAGTGGTCATTCATTTTTTGACAAGCAATTGTGTTGAATTAATAAGCATCGTGCGTGTTTTAACAAGTTTAAAGTATAACAAGCCTAATTAAAACAATTAGACAGATGCAAATGCTGTACCAATAAGTATTCATCCATTTGTAACAAATAACCACAGTAAATTAACAAACACTCATGCTAACCACACAATCAAAATGGCCATGAGAAAGATGCAAAATATTGAGGGCAATATAGTCTTTTTGCAATCAAATATAATTTTATCTAGGTCCTATTGATGTGCAAAGAAATTTCATAATCCTACAATACTTCTGTGCCATTGTTGATCTCCAGGAACCTTTAAGTACAAGTTTCCCATAAAATTTACAGAAGCCTTTATAACATTATTATTTCTTTAAAGAATGTGGGAGGGCTACATCTTTTTGAATTCAATTTACTGTAATTAAGCATTTTCTTTTACCTATTCAAAAGATGGATTAGTTGATTTTGAGCCCGTTTGTTTAAAATTAAAAATAAGTAATTTTTGCATAATTTAGAGATTTTATAAAAAGATATTAATTTTATAGAGATTTTATAAAAATTAGACATTATTTTATATTAGTTGCAATAATAAAAAAGTAATTATTAGTTAGTTATTCTAAAATTTTAAAATATATTCCTTGATTTTTATTTTATAAAAAAATTATTATTATATTATTTTAAAATTTCATGATATTTTTACATATACTGCTTCTTTAAAACACTTTTTTTCATCTATTGCATACATTATTTTTAAAAGTTATGCAAAGTAACTTCTTAAAATAACTAAAAATCTATTTTTTTAATTTTGGATTATTTTTAAAAGTGTAAACAAACTAATAAAAACTTACAAAATAATTTTTTTTTGAACCAATAAGTTATTTTTTCATGAAATAAGTTAAACTAAACAGGCCCTTTATGTTTATTAAATGATATTATTATTAAGTTAGAAGAAAGGGACATTTTAGTTCAAAATTTTTAAAGTCAAGCATAATTATTAGGATTAATTGACTTTAATTTCTTAAATTGTGTGAGTTAATTAATTTTTGTCAATGTTTATTCAACCATATATATAAATTATAAGTCATTTTAACTGTCTCACTAAAATTAAGAAAATATAATTAAATTATAGATAATGTCTAAAGTAGAAAAGAGATTTCTCAATTTATCCTCATCAAATACATCATCTTTAAAATAATTTTTTTTAACGTAACCTTTTGCTTTACTCATAAAAAAATGTGCAATAATAAAACTGGAAGAAAAGAATTAATAATTCATTTTTCATATGAAATGACTTATAAGAAGAAGTAACCATTCATTCTAAAAGGCTATATATATATATATATACAGTGACAAAATGACTCATTTTTTATGGAAGAATGACAAGTAAATCTTATCAAAATATACAAATAATAAATAAGTGTCACAAAATATTGTAAGTATTTTGAAGTCTTTAGAGACTTATCTGACATAAATTCTTTTTTTTTTTTGAAATTACATTTACGACCCTAATTAAAATAATAAAAAAGCATAGTTATTAATACCTAAACTAAAGTTGTTAATATAAAAAGTAAAGTTGTTAATATAAAAAGTGTAATTGTTAGTTTAATTATGCAATAGCAAATTTTTTTTTTGTTAACAATTTCAGTTTAAGTA